ATAACTTTTGCGGAGGTATTTGCAGATATACCCCATATATTTTCGCCATATTCCTGAGGTACTCATGTACAGGGGGAATAAAACTGAGGTGTTCAGACAACCAGGGGAGCCCCGCTTAATCAAAATATTCCCTTTCTGAACCACAAATGTAGACGAGCCCACTGTCTTGGTAAACCCCATGGGTTGAACCAGGGTTTAGTCCCTTAGAGTCAAGAATAATTAGGACACGTTCTCTCAGAAGTTGTCTCCCCCTGGTTGTCTGGGAAATCTAGACACCAACATGATTGTCATAATACCTTCACAGCCATAGTATTATGTTATTTCACCTACAACTCATTGGATAGAATAAGACGGAAAATTGGTCCTTAATATTATGCAAGCGGTTTTACAGAATGACCACGTGTCACAATGGCGGAGATAAACAGCACCCAAATCGACATATGGTTCAGAAGACAGGCGATCAATATCAAGTGAAAGACTGAAAACAAGACTAGACAAGCCATCGGGCATATTACGTAGACACATCACACACTGTGTAACATATTTACTTATGTCCGTTATTCGACATATTGATTTAACACTGTATGGTTTGTGTATCTAAAATCGTAGTAATATCTGGCTTCCGGTGACGCATGCGTTGTGGGACCAGAATATAACGTGTTTCCGTAATGACATTCTGGAAGATGGTCTAACTGTGTATTTATACAGTAATATGTGCATAAAAAGTTGTTAAGATCAGTTGGGGATCTGTAATTCCGTATAACCTGGTCTTATGTATAGTCGAAGACACCAAGAATCTGTATGTGTAGTTTTATGTCGCGTTTAGCAATATCATGACAGGGACTCAAGAAATGTGTTTCCGGTTACCAAACCATCTTACAAAAAGACAAGAACTTGTATCCTGGAAGACTACAATAAATGCACATTCTGTACCAAGGACATTGTCAGCTAAATCATTAACACAGCGTCAGAATCAACTAAACACCATCAATGGTCACTAAATAGTAAATAGCGGCCTTCGTTTGTGGAATGTTTCCGAGTCTTAACACAAGATCCATGTATGATTCACACAACAATCCAGGTATGATCCACACAACAATCCATGTATGATTCACACAACAATCCAGGTATGATCCACACAACAATCCATGTATGATTCACACAACAATCCAGGTATGATCCACACAACAATCCATGTATGATCCACATAACAATCCATGTATGATACACACTACAATCCACGTATGATCCACACTACAATCCATGTATGATCCACACAACAATCCATGTATGATCTACACAACAATCTATGTATGATCCACACAACAATCCATGTATGATCCACACAACAATCCATGTATGATCCACACTACAATCCATGTATGATCCGCCCTAAAATCCATGTATGATCCGACCGCCTCCGTGGTGTAGTAGTTAGAGCGTCCACCCGGAGAGCGGAAGGTCGCGTGTTCGATCCGCGACCGCGTCATACCAAAAGACGTTAAAATATGCAGTCTAAGTAAACTTAGCCTCAGTATTATTCGTTACCCTACTATACTGTAGAGGAGTGTAACGAATAGTATTGAGACTAAGTTTACTTAGACTGTTAAAATATGGTACTTGTTGGTCCCTGCCTGGCGCTCGGCATTAGCGGGTACAACAAGGACTGGTCGGTTCGAGTCACAGAGGGAGGCAGGTCAACAGTGTTTCCTTGTACATGTTTCTGGAGGTGAGGTAAGTTACACAAGATAACCCATCAAACAGTTGTAACAACGTAATGTAGAATATATATCCAACAAAATACATCTTTTATAGTTATGTTCGGGTGTTTTCTTTTCACAAAACTAGGATACATTTGTCAGTAAAACAATAGACAAGATTTGTCTGGTCATAGTATCAAATACGCAAAAAAGACATAAGCATGCATATTGAAAACATCACTGTTCCAACATAATATGTCCAAACTTGGACATGAAAATTTACAGATATTTCATTCTTTAACTTTATCGAATGGTTGATGCTCTGGAACACACTCCTATCCCTGTAACAAAACAAATCTAGGATATTCTTAAACTCCTGTGGAAACCAAACTCCACGACAGTGTTTTACAGTGTCTGTCTCTGTCACACAGTCTGTACACAGTAACCAAAGGACAGACAGACCAACAGCATTCAGACAAAGGCACTATATGGATATATATACAAAACCTCACAATCCTTCAAGAGTTTAGTGAATGTTGAACATCCCCACATTCAGTGTCAACAAGCAGTCAGTTCACGATCAGACATCTTGTGATGGTAAACATGAGGTCACTGACCAGCTAACATATTCAGCTCTTCTAAATGGTGTTCCTAGCACCAATATTATGCTGACAATTCTAACAGAGATCTATGTTGTACCCTCACCCATGACAAATACATCACAAAGACGTAGCCTGTTTAACTACTCAAGATTTATAGAATATCCTGAATAAGAGTCAAACTGTCACAATATCAACTCCCATACATGCCTCCCATACATGCCTCAACATACATGCCTCCCATACATGCCTCAACATACATGCCTCCCATACATGCCTCCCATACATGCCTCCATGCCTCCCATACATGCCTCCCCATATACATACATGCCTCCCATACATGCCTCCCTCCCATACACATGCCTCCCATACATGCCCCCATACATGCCTCCCTCCCATACATGCCTCCCATACATGCCACCCATACATGCCTCCCATACATGCCCCCCCATACATGCCTCCCATATACATGCCTCCCATACATGCTCCTCCCCATGCCCCCATACATGCCTCTCCTCCCATACATGCCTCCCATACATGCCCCCATACATGCCTCCCATACATGCCATACATGCCTCCCATACCTACTCCCATACATGCCTCCCATACATGCCTCCCATACATGCCCCCATACATGCCTCCCATACATGCCCCCATACATGCCTCCCATACATGCCTCCCATACATGCCTCAACATACATGCCTCCCATACATGCCTCAACATACATGCCTCCCATACATGCCTCAACATACATGCCTCCCATACATGCCCCCATACATGCCTCAACATACATGCCTCCCATACATGCCCCCATACATGCCTCCCATACATGCCTCCATACATGCCTACATGCCCCCATACATGCCCCCATACATGCCTCCCATACATGCCTCCCATACATGCCTCAACATATAGGAAAAAATAACTATATCAAACTTGAAACACATTCCTAATATATCCCAAAACTATCTCTGAAATGTAACTGGGACCTGTTTCTCACTACAGAAATCATAGCTACATTAAACAGGTAAATATAAACACATGTAAATTGTACGCTGAACTGATCTTACACTGTAATGAGAATAACTACTTAAGCTTCTATTTATTTCATAACCTTATAAAAGAAGAAGAACAACAACAAAAGACTTCAAGACATCTCCACATGCCTCTCTATACTGTCAAACTTAGTTCCTATACTTCAATATATTTCTTACATTAATATCCACTGAGTGGCAAGTTATTCCACTGCATAATTAATAAAGAAAGGGAAACCTTGTTAGTTGTTCCCTTGAATTTGTCAAGATTAAAAGTGTATGTTTCAGAGTTATATCATTTGTAAACGTCTTGTTTGTTGTACAATGCAGCACTCAGCAGTATTCCAGCTATATGTCACAGGCCTGTAAATCATGTGATTGACATCACAAGCAATGATCTACACAACTAGGATACTGCCTGAACCTGGCGTGTCACCTCTTATGTCAAACTGGGTGCTGACTTAGAACCATTCTTATGAACCTGGATGTTCACCGAGTGTGTAAACATGTACATGTTCAACCATCCAGAAAGCATGGTGTGTCAACTAACAAAGTTTCATTAAGAAGTAAGAAACTTGTGTCAAGTTTTGTGGTGAAATTCGGTTTTCTAAACAAGGGTGCATTTCTTGAGTGGAGTTGAATACGGTATTTCCTCTGTTAAGAGCCAGCCTGTGTTGAGGGCCATGTGTATGGGGGAGATGACACCTGGGCCAGGGCAGCAACAGCTAATGATTTCTCCTCCTTACAACTGAATGCCATTAAGTCTCGAATCGTCACAGAAACAATCAAGTTTGGCTGAAGGGGTCGTTATCGGCACGGGTACTACAGATGTGTACCCCAGGTACGTTTCTGTATACAGAAACGTACCCTGGCCATAATGAGAATACAGAAAGGTACCCTAGGACGATTCCATTCCCATTGTGTCGTATTCTTGATCGGAATTGTCATGCTGTTGTATTAGATACATTTGATTGCTTTATGTAAGTAATGAGAATACGCAGTAACGGATATTTCGCGATGCATATGAATACCAATCGCAATCAGTTGAACGGGAACAACTACATGAGGTTTTGGATTCGGAATATGGACTCGTCTGCCTTTTAGGGTACCAGGTATGTTTCTGTATTTTGACTTTGTTTAGGGTACATATCTGTATACAGAAACGTACCTGGGGTACGTATCTGTAGTACCTGTGCCGACAACGACCCCGTCAGCTCAAGTTTGGGCCTCTGATATGAATGTGTGAGAGATTTCCGTTAATGATCATGTTGAACAGTATTCCACTTACACGACAGCCTTTAGTGATGCAAGTAGTGTTTACCATTTTGCTGAAACCCACAAGGAGAGGTTGGGTGTTAACAAACCTACAAACATACTCAGGGATAATAAAACTGGGATTCAAACACAGTGACAGACTTCTGGCACTCCAAAGGAATGCAACACAGTATAGCAGATTTCAGGAACTTCACTAGTCTGTCTCACAGTCCCTGAACCACATTATTTTCCCTACTGCCAAGCCTCTCTGCAGTGTCAAAGCCCTAAATAAAGCAAGTCTAGATTTCCTCTGAATCTCTGGTCTCCCTGGGGCTCCTTTTCAATTTAAATGGGCTTGTTTGTTACTATCAAAATTATATATATTCAGAGACTAAGCCTTAGTCTAGAACTTCACAACCAGTCACATCTGTTACCCTTGACCTAGATAGAAGCTGGTCTATTTAAGTAAACAGAGCCCCAGTCTCTTAACAGAGGAGACACTTTCCTACTGGCTTTCACCCATGAGAGAAAGAAGCTCATTGGTCAAATTCAGTCGGACACCCTTCCATTTGAAATGAGTTGGAGGATTAGTTTCGCCATTTTCAAACTCAAAGTCCCGACTAAATTCGATGGCAAGACTGGATTTGATGAGTCCAACACCCCCAAGTACAGGGCTGGCAGGATGGTAGACTCTCCCACTTGAAGGCAACATGCATATTTTCTCTGGTTCAAAGCGCACAGTAAGTAACTCTCCAGCACCCCCATAGGAGAGTAGGCTGGACCCATCTGCTTGTCTGGAAGGAAGGATCTTGGTGAAGACTATTGGCTTGTCATCACATCGGACAAAGTTCCTCTCTCGACCACATGGTGACAGATATGGAAAATCCTCTCGGAAGCGTTCAGTCTCGTTCATCTTCAGGCGAGAGAAGAAAAATCCAAGGAAGGCCTTCTCTGGGAAAAAAAAGATGTTATTTTGTTGTTTGGCAAAGTGAGTGAGTGAGTATTGTTTTACACTGCACTCAGCAATATTCCAGCTATATGGCAGTCTGTAAATAATGAGTCTGGACCAGACAATCCAGTGATCAACAACATGAGCATCGATCTATGCAATTGGGAAAAGATTACATGTTTCAACCAAGTCAGCGAGCCTGACCACCCGATCCCGTTAGTCGCCTCTTACGACAAGCATGGGTTACTGAAGATCAATTCTAACCCTTATCTTTACCAGTGTTTGAGTACGGGACCGTTCATAATTTATGGCCAGGGGGTTGATGATGATTTTTATGGAGAAGCATGTACAATGTGAATGCCCCTGCACCCCAAGTAAGTAACCCCCTGCATGTCATGTACAAAATCAATGACACCCCCTCCCCTTCCAATATTTTAAAGCATAATTTTTAAATATTTTTATGTACAAAATTGATGACCCCCTACCTCCCCAGAACAAAATGGGTGACCCCCTCCCTTAAAATCATCATCACCCCCTAGCCATAAATTATGAACGGTCCCTAAGAGTTAAGTAATTTGGCAATATTTGTTGAGTATGGAAAATATTCACTGAGTAGCATGAATCTACCTACTATGAAGGCTTTACCCTTGGGCAAACTTGATCAAAACTTATAAGGCCCACATTCAATCTTATAATAGTACTTCATGTCCAGTAAAATGCACTAAATTTAATTTTAGTATGAAACAACAACTGAATTTAAACACTTTGGTTCCAGTCAAACATATGATTTTTCCAAACCAGAATATCATAAAACCAGATCCAGTAATGGATGACAATAAGTTGAAGGTCAGAGAAAAACATACCTTTGAAACAGGAAGTGAAATTCTTCATTTTGGAATCATCCAGGAAAAGCTACAAACAAAACCCATCAATATCAGTGACCACAACAAATATAATTACATATTGTTGACTTTTCCATCTGGGTCATTTTGGTTCATGATCTAATGATAGTTTTACTGGTATTTTCATCAAATGGTGTCTAAAAACAATCTGAGAGATTGTGAAGCAGAACAATGGAATACGACATAGCAATACATTTTAAAACATGTGCCTCATCCACAACTATTGTTGGAACGTTTTACAGATCAACATGTTCATATCTGGTGCATTGTCTATCCTTACATAAAGTTATCATTTGTATGTCCGACACGCAGTATTTAGAGTTCCTTGTAGGCTTTGACTCTTTACTACCATCATGCGAAGACTTCTGAGGATCTGAGTTCAAATAAGAACTGGCACAATGCAGAATAATGGCCTGACAAGTCAGTAAAAATCCACTATGTCTGATACACAAATTTTGGGATGCATACATAACAGTCTATTAGTGAATCATTATCTAAAATACACAGATATAATGCTCAATCTGACACAGAGCACTAATTACATTATTGGGTATTCCAGATACTATACCCCCTATGAAAGGTTTGAATTATGGATCAGTTGTTTCTTCACTGAATACAAATTTGTTTATTGTGGATTACAATTTTGACAGGTTTTACTCATGTTTAGCGTTATTCTCATTGCACTGAGCAAAACAACATCTATCAGAGGATAGAAGACTGAGGAGCTGTCTATCATAAAGGATATACAATAAACAGGTACAGACAGACTGTTTTTGTTGTTGATAAATGCATTCAAGATTTAAAGTGTGAAGCAGTATTATGCACAGTAGAAAAGTACACAGTATCCCTTCAGAGACATCAGATAAACTGACGGCTGATAACAAACTAAAGCAACAAAATGTGAAATCTGAGATAAACTACCACTAGACATGATGATTTACCATTTGAATTGTACTTTCTGTCCTGCTAAGTTTTTACACGCAGATACAAGGATTACGTAAACTAAGCCAGACACAAGCAGCTGTACAGACATTCTTCAAAAATCTATCTGTGATTCAATTTTATAACACCCATTAATATACCTTTAAAGAACCTTGTTGGAATGATTGAATGAAAGTGTTATTTTATCAGATTTACCCCAATATTGGTTTATCTTAGTTGCAGCTGTTACTAAATACATTTAATAACAACTTTTGAATAATTGAAATATTTTGCATAGTATAGGTAATCCTGCTGCCAGCACTAATCAATACTTGTAAAGAAGTCATTAACAGATCATCAAGTGAATGACGACAAATATACAGGTGTAGGATTTATACAATAAAACATGGATGACAAGGATAAAGTAGTTGTTTTTCTGTTGTATGCAATTTGCCTGAAATAGTAAGAGAAGTCGCTTTTTTCAGTAGATTAAGAGAACATTATCACTGCCAAAATAATATGTACATGTTGTTGCTGTATACTTAAGTACATACACATTTACAAACATTTAAAAGGTGCCTCAGACAGTTGAAGACAATATATATATGCTCTTTAGTGTCAAAGAAATTTCAGGTAGCCATGCAGATGTTTAATAGAATTTCTGGTCCGGTTTCTGAACTGGAGAGCTCAAACTGTTTGATTTGAGATAAAATCATAAGCTTGGATCAGCATAAAAAAACTGCAGAAAATATGTCACTTTCTCAACCGGAAGAAAATGTATCAGTCTTATTATTTCTACTCAAGGATGTCGGATCAGTATTGACCCTCATTGATAAATACGATAAAGACCTTCTCTGAGTATTATTCTAAAGTGATAGGTAAATATTAAATCATCTAAATCCGATTAGTTTGTGTTTTTTTAGCCAGTTATTAATCTTGATAAGCAACTTGTCAATTACTGAATTAGGCTTACCTGTCCTTGATGATCAATAAAGTAAAAGTATTCTCTAACTTTCGGTTCAGGAGACTGTCCCTGGACATAGTGGAGGAATCTAGTTGTGCTAAGAATATGTGTGCGTGATGTTAAATTCAACAAACATCTTGAAAATTTGACAGTTGTCATGCTTCCCACTTTTGTTTACATCGGAAGTTTTCAATACGCATGTCACGCTTAGTGGTTCCGGAAAGGTAAATGTAAACTGAAATTCAATTGGCCTAAAAAGAACAACTGAGCCAATCGTGGACTGGCTTACACATTGTGTCGGCGGTATTCTCCATATTTCCATGTCGGAGTCATGAATGGGAATCTTACCATGTGATAAAACAATGATTTTGTGTAATAATTGACGTTTCAAATAACATCTAATGACGTCTTTAGGAAATTAAAGTTCATTTTGGAATAACTAACTTATAAAATGTCACAAACGAAGCGAGCATGGAAACTACGTAAGTATTTAAACGATCCTTTGACATACCAAATAAGACCAGAAATGATTTCTCCTCGTAAAATCTTGACTGGCATAAAATAATGTGTGTCTGTATGATGCCAAAGCCAATATTTTTGTTTTCTTACACATGCTTATGTGTTTTTGTTTCTTAATTCCAATTTGCTTGAGATAATGCGATGACAGTTATCAAGAGGTAAAGACGAATAACACCACCTTTTCATATGAATGTGAACCTTTGCATGCCTTCATTATTTTCTGTGTGTATTAAGCCTCTTGAAATGGTAGTGTAATAAAGATGTATTTTTACAAATGATAAACCCAAACCTAAAACAGCTAAAGAAAGATGAATGTTATATTTACATTACTATGTCTTCAGTATAGAACAAATTTTTATGGACAACAACTTCTTTATTTCGTGAGTGCGACGTTTTGATACAGATTCTTGTACCTTTGTCAAACAGGATTCTAAAATGCCGCTCAAACAAGTCATGTCTTCAGTACCTGAACAACTTAGCTTGTTTGTCCTGATCTAAATACAGTTTGGGTTATTTTTAAAGGAGGGTTATTTTTAAAGGAGTATCACAGGTCATGAACAATGATGAATATCTACCTTTTTTGTTTTTGTTTTTAGTATGGGATAACTAGTTTATTAGGGGTGTTGGTGAAGTGATTTATTGAAGGTGTTGTTTTGTATTAGAATAATGGGTTTACAGTTAGGTCTGATAGACAGAAATAGTCTATTAAACAATATCAAAGGAATAAATTAGGGAAATAAGTAAATAAATAATTAGGGAAAAAGAAAAATACTTGTTCAGAAACTAAGAAAATTCTGTGTTGAAATTCATGATTGTTTTGTTTTTTTTCTCTATTTTAACAGAAGAGTTTGTGGCTCACAGTGCCAATATCCAGTGTTTGGCAATGGGTCACAAGTCTGGCAGGGTCATGGTCACTGGTGGAGAAGACCGGAAGGTCAACCTGTGGGCCCTTGGCAAACCACATTGCATCATGGTAGGTGCACCAGTTTATATATTGCAGTTGATTGATGATTTGTGACCGACATGGTTCTTTAAGATACAACTTTGTGACTGGACTGAGTTCCTAATATACTATGCCGAATTATACAAGTTTAGGATGCTGAAAACAGAGCAAGACATTTATTTGAAAATTTGATAAAGTTTGATTTGGATTGACCATGTTGGCATGATTTCTATATGAATGCAGATAAATCTCTTTAAAATATATATGTATAAGATATAAAGATATAAAAGAATGAAATGGAAATAATTCAGAAAACCATATGTGTTCATTAGACAAAAATATAATTAATTTTCAGTGATAACTTGACCATGTTGACTCTCCTGTGTTTGTCTATACAACAATATGATTAGTGTTCTCCCGTGAAAGGAGCTGCACACACACATGCACAGTCACTCACTCACTCAATGTTCCTTCTCTCCTCCTTCCCCCTCCCTCCCTTTCCTTCCCTCCCCTATCCCTTCCTCAATTCCTCTCACTCACATCATTCCACTAATTAACTGTATTTCTTACTTTCTTTACTTGACACCAGCCAGTATACTTTGTTTTACAGACATTCAGACAAGGTGCAACTGCTGACATGGGTAATAATCTTATACCATGACTGCAATATGTTAAACCAGACATATTCAGATACGTATTATATATATTTGTCTTTAAAGCTATATAGCAATGACGTTTATCCGGACAAAAAATAAGCAAATGTTAGACAGATGCTGTAAAGTTGGTCTCTTTCCAGTATATTGAGAGTAGACTGTAGTAAATGCATTTGAAACTGTAAAATTTGATTATACAGTTAACTAAGTTATTTATAACTAACATTTGCTTATAATGTACCAACAGATGTAGGAACTATTTTGGGGCTACGTGTGTTGCCGTATATTTTAGTCAAATTGTTAATAACAAACTAAGACTGGTGCTACCTTTGAGTTCATAAATAACTAGTTCAACACTGTAATTATTTTCTGTTTCAAAGTTAGACATGTTAACCTGCTATGGTGAGGCCATAGCAGTGTGGATCGTGTCAGCTAGACTCATTATGGAGTGTTGGTTACCCACACACAGTTCTATGTCTGTGATGTAACTTATCACCTTAATGCTCATTAATTATATGAACCCCAAAGGTAGTGTAGAACTGAGTGATGATATTTGCTCCCCTTACTTAGTGAGTGTCACGCCGCTTTTAGCAATATTCCAGCAATATCATCGGCGGAGGACACCAGAAATGGGCTTCATACCTTGTACCCATGTGGGGAACCTGGTTCTTGGTCGTGACGACCGAAAGCTTTAACCACTAGGCTATGCCACTGCCCCTCCCTGTTACTGTATCTGATTCCAACTTATATAAGTACTTCTGACTCCAGCATTTCCAACATTATAATCAATAATATAGAGCTCCACAGTACCAGGTTGTAGTGATCAAGGCCGTATTCTACATTTTCATTGAAAACTTTTACAAGAAATGGAATTACCAGTATAATGCTGAGAAATGTATCAATGGAGACCTTTGTTTCCCTGCCCTAAATTTTGTTTAAGTTATAATGGATGGGCACAAAGTGTGACTATTTGTTTGAAAGTGTTCAATTTAACACAAATGTCTCAAGTAGATATTTCAGAATTCAGGTGTTTTCATTCATTTGATTTGTTCACAAACAATGACCACTTTCACAGAAATGTTGGTGAAGTTTGAAGCCACAACCACATACAAACACCCCTCCCCACACCATTGGTTTAACATGTTTGTGTTTATCAAAGTGAAGACATCATTATGGACCGTAATGTCAGTATACAATATTCTTTGCTATCTTGGGCTGACAATTGATATTGAAACAGCCCTAGAGCAAAGTTGTCAGGAGAATGGTATACACAGACATGTTTTGTAGCCTGGTTCTGTCAAATAGCATTCCATTAAGCACTGCACTTCACTCCCATCTGAGTTGTATTAACAATTGAAGCATCACTGACAGCATGGTCACTGATCTGTTTGTTAATCATGTTGCTCATGCAGTTTTTATTTTCCCTTAAACTATCAATCACGTTTCCCTTCATGAAAATATTTTGTAATGTGGCTAAATTTAGCACTAAAACCACCCTCATTCAGTCACTGTCATGTAAAATAATAATGCCTGACCTGAAATATGTACAGATAAAGTTCTGTTATTGCTGACTATGGCCCAAAATAGCATTCTGAGTCACACCATTGAACATGACTGAATATTGGTCATGCTTGTAACTAAGCCCAAGACTTCATCCATTTCCAAGGCTTTGATAGTTTGTGTCACTGTCAAGGAACTTGAACTCTACTCATCATACTGTGTTAACACTAGGATTACATGGTATTACTAGTATACCCATGTGGGAAAATAGGCTTTTCAAACAAAACACATTGCAGAATTTTTGCAGACAACTGGTTTATTTGGATGAAAAAATACATGAAGTTTTGCGAGTATCTCCATGTTTTATGTTAAAATCTACACATGCTTTCATTCACAACTAATGTTTAACTGCGTAATTAATTACCAAAACGATAAAGTTTACTTGCTATAAATTGTATAAAAACAAAATCCAAAATCCTTTCTATGCAACCCTATTTAGAGATTGATATCAGAAATTATTTTTATGGTCATAGTATGTAGAAAATGGGGATCTGAATATACAGTTAGTATAACCCACAATCAAACATTCTGGCTCCCAATATATTGCAGTACGATCTCAATATGGGTAACCAATATATTGTAATATAATGTATTTGCCAATGCACAGCCCTAGCTATATGAGTTCTACTGTATTTTGTTACCATGGTTTCATCTAGTCTGTGGGAAATTGCGACCCATGAGGTTAGAATTGATCTTCAGTAACTCATGCTTGTCGTAAGAGGCGACTAACGAAATCGGGTGGTCAGGCTTGCTGACTGGGTTTACACATGTCATCGTATCCCAGTTGCGTAGATTGATATTCATGCTGTTGATCCCTGGATTGTCTGGTCCAGACTCGATTACTTACAGACCGCCACCATATACTAGTAGCTGGAATATTGCTGAGTGCGGCATAAAACTAAACTCACTCACTCACTGTGGGAAATTGCTCTTGTTGTCAGTCACTGGTTTGTCCACGGGCTGACATACGGCTTGAACATAGCGGAGAGTGGCATTAAACAAGACTAGCAAACAGATAGAGCAGGAAGTGTTCGTCTCCATGACAACATGTGTTTATTATCTACATCTTGTGACTTGTCAGCCATCCGCCTGTGTTATCACAGAGCTGTGTGAAGGGTGCGGATGACTGCAGTATTTGTCCAAGGATTGCTGACTAGGACCTGGCCGCAGATTTGACCCCAGGTCACCTTACCTCACAGGCAGATTACCAACTTCCTTGATTACCCCCCTGGCGCACCTGAACAGGGGGGTGTTCACGGACTGGTTGATAGCTAAGCTGATGGGTATGGTTGTCATGTGGACATGATCAGTTAGTGAAATAAGGTGTGCTGCTATTAGGACTGAGGGTATTACCAGTATGCTGGAATACTGCAGTATGCATTCAAACAGTATGTATTGGAGTATTACTTCAGAAAAGTTATATGTAAGATAAAAAAGTATGAGACATTTTATTGTCTCTATGATTTATCTTTTAAGTTAAAATCAACACCCTTTCATTCACAATTTTGTTCCCCTTCATAATTGACAAAACATTATGCTTTAATGCTATCAAAAGCATGAAAAATTAATGACCCAACATATCTAACTGTGTCTTGTCATGTCTGTCTCCCAACTCTAAGTGTTAGCATCAAGAGTTCCACAGAGAATCACTGATAACAATGTTGATGAAAAAATTTATCCCCCGCTGCTCGTTTAGCCCGAAGCTGGGGATACAGTATTAGGCTCCGTCCGTCTGTAAGTCCGTACGTACGAATTGAAATATCTTAAGAACCATTGACTGGATTCTTTTCATATTTGGTACCTAGGTTCATCACAGTATAAGAAAGGTCCCAGTCAGGTTTGGTGACCTTGACCTTCATTTCAAGGTCACAAGGGGACTTTAACGTTTTACCCTTGTCAGCGAGATATCTCAAGAACCGTTCACTGTATTTACTTCATATTCAACACCAAGCTTTATCTAGGGAAGACGCAGGGCCCAGTCGCTTTGGTGACCTTCACCTAATTTGCAAGGTCATGGCGACACTTTGAAGATTTCAGCATGTTAACCTGCATGTTAAGCTTGTCAGCGAGATACGTCAAGAACCGTTCACTGGATTTTCTTCATATTAGACATCAAGCTTCATCGAGGGAAGGCGCAGGGCCCAGTCGCTTTGGTGACCTTCACCTAATTTTCAAGGTCATGGCGACACTTTGAAGATTTCAGCATGTTAAGCTGCATGTTAAGCTTGTCAGCGAGATACGTCAAGAACCGTTCACTGGATTTTCTTCATATTCGACATCAAGCTTCATCGAGGGAAGGAGCAGGGCCCAGTCGCTTTGGTGACCTTCACTTAATTTTCAAGGTCACGGCGACACTTTAAAGATTTCAGCATGTTAACCTGCATGTAAAGATTGTCAGCGAGATATCTCAAGAACCATTCACTGGACTTCCTTTATATTTGACACCAAGCTTCATCAGGGGAAGGTGCAAGGTCCAGTCGATTTTGGTGACCTTCACTTAATTTTCAAGGTCACGGCGACACTTTGAAGACTTCAGCATGTTAAACTGCATGTTAAGATTGTCAGTGAGGTATCTCAAGAACAGTTCACTGGATTTTCTTCATAGACTTTCAAGACTTCCCTTGAATGTTTTTCAATTTCTTTATTACTATTTTTGCATATTTCATACACTAAGACACTCATATCAAGGTCAAAGTGAGTCTTGAAAATATTTGTACGTTTGAACAACTACAGAGCAAGATATCAAGAGAGGTTGACTGGTCATGTTTTTGTTGACATTTAACTTCATCTTAAATTAAGACCTTCACTTTCATTACTTTTTGTGTTTGATTTGATAATTTGCGGTGGGGGATTATGTCACCTTAGTGACTGCTTGTTTTTTATGTTTTTGTTTTAGGGTTTGTTTGTTTTTGTCACAAACATTTTAATGTTTGAAACATCAATTTAGACACAAATTTTATGATGGCCAATTCATAAACCACATTTTAAACAAATCTGCCTTTTTGTCCAACCTGTCTTGAATATGGCTGTCAATGGTGTGGCTGTCTTGTGGCTATATCATATACAGGTTACGTCTATTAACTTAACTATAAATTGGGTGTCTTATACTGCAAACAATGAAGAAACTGTCTCGCAGTAATGATGAAGTACTGTTTTTACAGTTAGTGTGAGTGACAGATAATCTCATAAATCCATCAGCTGTGATCTCGATGCCCTTCTGGTAATACATGCTCCTGTTTGTATAGTTAGTGATCCTCATAACCTTACATATAGACATCTTTGTCGTGCCAACTCAGGCTGATCAGACAAACAAACTGGGAATCACACATGAATAAGCTGGTGAAGTTAACATGTTGAATGTGTAGTTCCAGTCTGGTTGACATAGTTAACGGTACTTCTCCGTAAACAGATTTATCTATAATTCCAATTATTCAGCCATATCTGGCAAACTTGACAAAAAACTTGACATTGTTCACAGAGGATATTTTATTATGTTCGTAATCTTCAATATGTAGGGATATAAAACACCTGCCTTGAATTCTGGACTTAAAACTCCCAAGAATTTGAATCTGCCCTGAGAGGCCTTGAAATGTGCAACCTGAACTTCAAATCCTGTTAGGTAGTTGGGTAGCCTTGTGGTTAAAGCATTTGCTCATCACACCAAAGGCCAAGGTCCAATTTCCTACATGGGTACAATGTGTGAAGCCCATTTCTGGTGTCCCCTGCCATCATATTATTGCTGAAATGTTGCTAAAAGTGACGTGACACTAAAACTCACACACTCAAAATCCTGTGAACATGGACATGGAACACATGAATACCTGTGTTACCATTACTGTCTCTCTCTTGAAATGTGGGATATTATCATGTATCCAAGACTTGATCAATTATATATAACACTGCAACATGATGGACAGTGGTTACAATATAACTTAAAAACTGGCACATGTAAAATCACTTACCCTGATAAATTTTCCACTTTACTGTCCAATTTTCTTGTTCATTTTTTAAATAAACAACATAATTAACATTTGAAAGTCAACTGGACACCGGTACAGCGTGATATACAAATTTGCTTGCCCGACAGAAAAAAACAGTGGACTGGGATTCGGGCAATGGGTTATTTCCAACCCTGTGTACATAGATTTACAAGTGTCAACAGGGTTGAATTATTGGGAAAATCAGTTTGTATTTGTAAAGTCTGATGCGCTCAGGCTATATCCACACATCCTGTATTCTGGAACAGGAGCATGCTGAATGTCTGGGAATTGGACCTACATGACAGACATTCCAGAATTACTGTACCAGTTATAACTTATACTGAAGAATCCAACATGTTCAAGGTTCTTTGTCAGGGGCTTGGGGTTTGTGTTTTGACCTTGTGCATGTACATGATGTAGACATGACAAGCAAGTGAATAAAATTATTTTGGGCCTATATGAATAAGTATGTGCAATATTATAAACAAACTGAAGTAATTGCAGAAATAGTTGAAGTTTGAAGTATAGGAGAGTTTCTGTGTTGCAGAGCCTGACTGGACACACCACGTCTGTGGAGGCGGTTAGGTTTGGACACGAGGAGGAGATGGTGGTGGCAGGCTCCTTGTCAGGGGGCACTCAAAGTGTGGGACCTTGAACAAGCCAAAAGTGAGTAAAGGGAGACAACTGCAGTCAGAAGTTCCTTTGGAAAGCAGAGGACATCAGTATTTCATGTCTGTTATTGTTGGATGTCTTAATGAATACTAAACGAGAACATTGTCAGTATATGGAGTGTTTCTAATGGCATTGTCTTCAAACCTTCAAATTGGTCCTTTGCCCTTGTTTTTAAGCTGTACAGAATGTTTTAAGTTTTGTCATGTTGCACAATCTAGAAAAGCCCTATTAGGTCTGAAGAAAAAAATCTGTGTCCAAATATCCTTCCAAATGACATCTAATAGGCATCAACAATTGACTAGCTTGTACTAGTCCATTTATCTGTAACTCTAGGTGAAATACTTGGCATATTGTCATTCACATTTTTACCAGTGATCTTGGACGTAGTTGGTAATTAATCCTATTCCTCACTTTATATTTCACTATATGACATCACAAAATACCCATGTTAATCCAAACTCATGAGCTCTGTCAAGACAACCCCCAGTTACTAATTTCAAGAGTTCTTACAACAAATAGGAGGATCTTGTACAGTAATGAAATAGTATCAGTCTTTTGGGCACTTTATGATTGAAGGTATGTACAGTATATCATGTTTGTGACCACAGTAATGCGGACACTGACTGGACACAAGTCGGGCATCTCCAGCCTGGACTTCCACCCGTATGGAGACTACACCGCTTCAGGATCCTTGGACAGCAACATCAAGGTAGGCGCTGGGTACAACATGGGTCTCGGCATCAGCCCTGTCTAGTGCCTCTTGGGATCCCCAGGTTAGGAGATGTAACCAGCATTGTACTCCAGTAACTGGGCAGGCTGATGTTTAATATAATAATCATGGCTATTTGTAAAGCACCTGTTTCCAGACACTTGTGCATTCTCAAAGCACTAACACATTATTACCCGGATAACCCAAGCTGCCTGTGAGGCGCTAGAAGGTTAGTGATGTGTAACAACTGTTTTGTACCATCCCCTCCCATACTTGGTGTTAGATGCAGTGGGTTGAATTTATCGGTAAGGATAACTTCAGTGATAACCATATCATTGTACGTTTCAGCTTGGTATGTTTGCCATAAATGATATCAACCACTAATTTGTCTGTCCAGACTTCTCCATATATAGGCCACATTGATGGATCTGAAGTATTGCTAGCTGCAGTGTAAAACAGTTTCAATCATCCATGTCCCAAGTCTCCTTCCATCAGCATAGGGTCATCTGGCTAGATGATGTCCGTGTCATCACAGTGTCACATGAACCGTTCTGTGGCTGACTAGTAGGAATGTCAGTTTGTGTGAATCTAAATATATTTTCTTCTTTTACAGTTATGGGATATAAGAAGGAAAGGATGTATTTACACTTATACGGTATGTATGATCTGATTCTGATCTTGAAGATCTTTCAGAATAGCTTTTCTTTGGATGATCACCACTAAATCATTCAACTGCTATAGCTGCATTTCTCCATATAACACAAAAAGAAAGGCTATGGTCCCAGTAAAGTGAAGAACAGCCTTATGTCTCCTATGTCACTATTATCTCCAACAACAGATAACATCTAGTAATGCAGTGGTAATATATTGATAAGGATTGCTAGTATCCAGGGTCTGAAAGTTACTGGTTGTTTTGATGTGTTGTCACACAAATAGTATTTGAACATACTATGGAACTGAAACGTGCAGCTTCGAGTTGATTGAACATAATACACACTTCCCAAAATTAATTGACATCATGTTATGTCTCAGTCTGTGAAATGTTGAATAGTGCTGGGACTTATGTGTTGGTGAAAGTTACAAGGTGTTACTCGCTGTTACAGGGTGTTTCGTTAAATGCTGCTACTCACTGTTACATGGTGTTACTCACTGTTACATGATGTTACTCAATGTTACATTTTGTTACTTTCGCTGTTACATGGTGTTTCTCACTGTTGCAAGCGTTACTTGCTGTTACATGGTGTTTCTCACTGTTGCACTGGCTGTTACATGGTGTTTTCTCACTGTTGCAAGGCGTTACTCGCTGTTACATGGTGTTTCTCGTTAAATGCTGTTACATGGTGTTACTCACTGTTACACGATGTTACTCACTGTTACATGGTGTTACTTGCTGTTACATGGTGTTACTCACTGTTACATGATGTTACTCACTGTTACAAGATGTTACTCGCTATTCCATGGTGTTATGCACTTTTACATGGTGTTACTCGCTGTTACAAGGCGTTATCGCTGTTACATGGTGTTCTCTCATTAAATGCTGTTACGCTGTTACATAGTGTTACTCACTGTTACATGGTGTTTTCGTTAAATGCTGTTACTCGCGTTACATGGTGTTACTGTTACATGGTGCTGTCTCGTTAAATGCTGTTACTCGCTGTTACAGGATGTTACTGTTACATGAAGTTACTCACTGTTACATGGTGTTACATGATGTTACTCACTGCTGTTACATGTTACTCACTGTTACATGGTGTTACTCTCTTTCGCTGTTCCATGGTGTTATGCACTTTTACATGGTGTTACTTGCTGTTACATGGTGTTACTCACTGTTACATGGTGTTACTGTTACATGGTGTTTCTCACATGTTACAAGGCATTACATGGTGTTACTTTTTTACATGGTGTTTCTCACTGTTACATGGTGTTACTCATTGTTACATGGTGTCATTCACTGTTACATGGTGTTAGTGTTACATGGTGTTACTCGCTGTTACATGGTGTTAGTGTTACATGGTGTTTCTCGTTAAATGCTGTTACAGGGTGCTTAACTGTTACATGATGTTACTCACTGTTACATAGTGTTACTGTTACATGGTGTTTCTCACTGTTACAAGGCGTTACATAGTGTTACTGTTACATGATGTTATTCACTGTTACATGGTGTTATGTGTTGTGTTCCAGGGTCACTCCGACAAGGTGAACTGTCTCCGCTTCAGTCCGGATGGCAAGTGGATTGCATCAGCAGGGCAGGATGGCTTGATCAAGGTAAAATTCAACATTTGCATGTGCTTACAATTCCCAGTACTTTTCAAATTTCTGCAGACCCATATTTGAAATTGAGGTATGTATGAGGTACACAGAGAGACTATGAACTACATAACACTTCTCACACAGACAATGGTACTGAGTCCCATGTGGTGTTGTAGATCTGGGACCTGACGGCCGGCAAGCAGCTGATGGATCTGAAGCAGCACAAGGGGGCCGTCAACACTGTAGAATTCCACCCCAATGAACTCCTCCTGGCCTCGGGCAGTGCAGACAGGTAGGCTGACACATGGGTGTTGTGTATGTAACCGTACTCCTTCAACCACAACATTGTTATATAGCTCTACTACATACTAGTGTTGGGAATTGGTTAAAATCTCATAATTGATGATTGGTTCATTACTACCGATCAATCATCGAAAATAATTGGTTAGCGTCATTTATGAAATTTGTTAATGCACATAAAAATATGGAAAAAAAAAACATGTAGTTCTTTTGGGTTTTTTTGGCAAAATTTCATATCTTTAAAGGATGACTAGTATGTTAGGAACATAAATTTCTTGGAATCTTTAAGATAAATTCAATCATGACTTGAAACGAGCTTGTAGTGCTTACGAAATATAACAGACAAAACCAACCATGTGAAAAATATTGTTAATGAAAACAAGTGTTCCAGAATTGTTTGTGTTCGATTATGAGAAATTATGATCGATTGCTTGGTCGTTTAGTCACTGCGACCAATCTTCGATTATTTCAATTAATCAGACCACCACTACTACATACACTGTATGTGGCCCAGCATTGTTGGGATAAATGGCCACAGCTTTGCTCTTAATGGGAACAACTGTGTTTTAATACCTACATTCTCAGGCTTTCTACCATCCATCTGACATTTGATAAACATTTGTAATATCCTATAATGATTTCCGGATAAGAATAAAACAAGGCTCTCATTCACTTGCCATTAATAAGACATCAAGTTGACATCAAGAAAAGACAATAGTTAACACTGGTTGTATGTGTGTACTGACTGAATGTGTGTTGGTGTTTCAGGACAATCAAGTTCTGGGACTTAGAATCATTCCAGGTCGTCAGCTCCACCGATCCAGAAGCTACACCCATCAAGTAAGGCTTCATCTCAACCATGACAGTTTCACTGTAAATAAATGTGTTGTATATCTAATATTTAGTATTTTTGGGGGGACACCCTCTGACTTGATGATCCTGTCCCTCAGGAGCCTGCTGTTCCACCCTGCTGTAACTGTATCTAGTTCTTTGTGACCCCCTCTGACTTGATGATCCTGTCCCCCAGGAGTCTGCTGTTCCACCCTGCTGTAACTGTATCTAGTTCTTTGTGACCCCCTCTGACTTGATGATCCTGTCCCCCAGGAGCCTGCTGTTCCACCCTGATGGTCTGTGTGTATACAGTGGATGTAAGGACATGTTGAAGGCATACAGCTGGGAGCCAGCCACATGTTACGACTCTGTGCCTATAGCCTGGGGAGATGTCGCAGAAATAACCATGGGACAAGATCAGTTGGTAGGTCAAGCACCTGCCTCATGGCAAGGGAGATAATCACAATAATAATAATTGTGGGCTAGAAGTTTATGATGACATGAGTTAATAAAATGACATAACATAGTGGTACCATTAATAAAGTCTTCTCTTTTAAAAGTTACCAGTGATCCTTGAGCTCTACGCCACTGAGGACTTGTGGGTAGAATTGGTCCTCAGTAGCCTATGGTTGATGTGATGTGAGGGTCAGTGACCGACAGTACTGCTTACAATGTCAATCACAGGATTGTCTGGTCCAGACTTGTGTCTTAGCTTCCAGATTGCTGTGTGCAGCATTATACAATAAACTGTAATTAGAATGGTGAGCCATGGAGGATTGTGATTGTTTTGTTACTGTCTACAAGCATTTATAGCTGTTTTACAGTTGTCATGTAATCTGGTTAACATTGTTTAACTCATTGTTTTACAGATAGGATCTTCATTTGCTCAAACCAACGTCAGCAGTTTTGTAATAGATTTAAAGGTGAGTTTGAGCTCCTATTACATTATTAATTGTTGTGTTTGCTTGATTTCTATGTTAATGGGAGACTATACACACCATTGTGCTGTAATATATGCCAAGAAACATTCTAAAAATAGAATTCATAGTTTTTTCAATTTCAGTCTGATGCTTTCAGACACCTAAAAATACTTTGCATAAGCATTCAATTTACTTGACATCATTGAATTCTGTAATCAGAACATTGCAATATCTTCTTTTGTTGGTTGCCCAGCCATGTTGGAACCTTCAGCAGCACATTGGCTCACTCGGCAATGGCAGTGCACAACAAATCTGAGACACATAAAGAAATATATTCTCAAAATATTGTTCATGTGATGCAAGCTATATTCAATCAATCACTGTGTGAGGTTATATCATTTTTGTTTATATTATCAGAGAGTTCAGCCAGTCGGTGGCTCCTCCGAGAAGGGAAGTGGGTTGTCCAGGTACGTCTTGTGTTTGGTAATTATATAAATAGTGATGTCACTATTAGATGTTACATGTGTGTTATGTGTTTGATGAGTTGTACCATGTCTACCAGAGCACATACATAGACATGGAGGCCATGAGTGTATCCAAGGCTGAGACTTAATCATCTAGCAACAAATTCTTGGCTCATGTTTAGAAATGGTGAAATGCTATGTGACACAATGAATTTAATATGACAAGAACATTGCTGTATATGTGACACAATGGTACTGTTATTTCAGTGGTCGTAAGAGTTTCATAACAGAGCGTCCGCCAACAGCATCATCAAGAAACTCCAGGTGAGATGACTTTGTAGTTTGTTCACCTGTATACTAACCTGCCTCTCTCTCACATTAACCAGAGTACACCACCTTAGTATGGCATTAGAACCTTGGGTTTACTGACAGCTTGGGATCACATATTTGGATCTGACATTATGTGGAAATTTAATTCATGGAGTAACTAAACTCAATCTACTTGGGTCTCCACAGAAACTTAAAATGGATCTAAAATGTCTGGTCGCAATAGGACTGGGATTACGTATTCCTGTATAAACTGATGGAGGCTAGGGTTAAAATATCTGCAAGTTCGATGTCACTGGCTTAAAAAATCATGCATTTTATCTACAATGTGTCTCTGAAACTAGTCCATATTGTTTGGGATATATCTGACCTGTGTGTACCATTCTTTGGCTCAGGGTATAACTGGCGTATATGGTTCTTGGTGTAAAAGATTCATTTCGCCCTGGGTATAACTGACTCATGTCACATGATGTATGTTCTTGATCCATATTCTGGTATTTAATGAGTTCATTGTCACCCTTTCTGTTTGTTATGATCTTTCACTCTACACTGACTTTCATCACCTAGGCCAAGTGACACACTTGCCCAACATTTCAGTGTACCTAAGGAAGATGCTAGTCAAAAGAATGATGACCCTGGCAGGGGCGACGGCGACGACAGCCAGTCTGCCACCGACATCCAGAACCAGGAGGACTACCGAGAACACTTCCAGTCCAATGCCAGACTCGGTGAGTAAACTACCGCACTTGGTGACTGGGGAACAGGTTGTACCAACTTAAACAGCCAGAGATACAGAGGGAGGGATTCAGAGGCATTCAACTCTGATGATCTAAGGTGCCCATATTGAATTGATCAGTGTAAAATATGGAATTCTGTATGTAGGTAATTGTTAACTGTGCGACTAAGTGCCCTTTTGTTGGTGTTGGCCACTATCAGTGTGGAAGGTTTGGCTCTGATGTTAAAGTGTAACAGTCATTATGTCGACAAAATGCATAACAATGTGTAGTTTAAGTAGTTGCAAAAAATGTTAAATATAACAAATTATACAAATTTAATTTGAAACCTACTTATGTGTTGGCAATCATTACAACAGCTTCAGATTGGAATTACTTCACACCAGGTTTAAATAGCAATAAGAGGCAAATGGCCGCCTTTTCATTTTTGATTGTCAGCAATACTTGATTCAGTTGTATCAGGTTGATTGGTATATTTATCAACCCTTAAAGTTGGTTTACTAGTGTTGAAAAGCTATTCCATTGGTGTGGGGAACTACAGCAACACAGCTGCTAATAGCCCAGATAGTCGCCTCCTACTCCGGTACTTTGATACTGCCCGACTGGATAAAAGGACTAAGAATATGAATACTTTTTCAATGTGACCCCCAGTTTCCTAGTCACTGGTAAGGGAGGCAATCCAAAGAGCATCCTTGTTTTGGTCACTCACTCACTCACTCACTTCACATATTGAACAGGAAAGGCAAGGGATCATGAATATGTTTCTGGGTATTTTATTTGATGTATGTTAGCACACAGTTTCAGTGTGATATGAACCAAAATGTGTGTGCTCCTTTTAAGTCTATGTCACTTAACAAAAACAACTGTGTGGACTGAGAAGTGAGTCCACATTTTCTACGAACAAGCCCTGAACGTTCTGACTCTTCAGTCATGAGTTATGTGTAAGCCTTCATTGTTCTGTGTTGTCAGTGGGTTTGGCTTCAGGGCAGATTATGTTCACACCTTTACGATTGTCTGGGATGCTTTACAGATGCCCCAGATTCACTGTAGAGAGTCCAGTTGGATAACGAGAGTGCACATGGATAATGACTGAAAAACAAACAAGCTTTTATTTGGGAGGAGATTGTGTCAGAAGGTTATGTCGTCCACCTTGAACATTTTGAGTGAAAGAATAGATCAATGAGTTCATCAGGCTGTCATTCTAGTTACCATGGTGACCATATGAGACTGGTTGTTACTTTCATCGTCCAGCATCCCTGAATCATGTCTCTCTGCTATTCTGGGATACCACATAGTAAAACAGTCGATCTGAGAAAATGTTATCTTATTTATGTGAATCTTTTTTCATGTCTTCCTTGTAGATCAGTTTGGTTAACCATCTTACAAGAAATGAAAGTCTTACATTTAACGAATGCATTATCATCGAAAACCTGCTTCCATTTTGGATGATAACTAGAATCTCACACACGTGTCTTTTGACTTCATGTCGATCAAAGTTGATACACTTTTATATACTTGTGCTGACATGTTTCATGTCAGATGACACTTGGTTAAGATTGTCTTTTTCTTCACATTGCATACGATTGTGATGTCTTGAGGCTGTTACAGCCTTTATCAACAGGCATGTGTGTACTCTGTTCTCTTAACATGCTAACAAATAGTTTCAAATCCCTTTATTTGAACATTTTACTGACTTAATATTTAATCTTTTTAACTCAATATTTCTGATTTTAAATGCACACATAAATCGTCATACATATTTTAAAGGAGAAAAATGTGGAAGTCACATTGTTATAAACAGTAAATGTTTTCGTTTCTTCACCTCAGAATATATGCATTGTGATTTCCAGTCTCTCCAGTCAAACATAACTGGCAGTTTAGAAAGAAATCGACTGGTGAGAAACATGTACTTCCTGCATGTACCACAGATACGTGGGCTATTAGGAGACATTTGGTGGAGGAGTATTCACAAAATTAATTAAAATGAATGTCTGATAGGAACATGTACTATTTACAACAATCAAAATTTTCATATTTAAATTTTTGGTGGAGGAAATATGCATGCAGATATTTAAATTTAGAGGTCAATGTGAAGAATTTCTTAAAGTTACACACATTATTACATTATAGATTTTTGTTACAGTATGACTATAATGATAGGATAGTATTTACAACAACAAAAATTGTTTTCACAGAACCTCAGTTCAAACTTTCTTGGCAGTTAGCCAAGAAATCTCCTGGTGAGCTATTGTATATCATGTATATCAACATATGATGATAAGTGTATTATACCATCACTGTAACATGCATATACCAGCTTACACCATGTATAGTCTGCAGATGGTGGTGGTGATGTAACCAACAAACTGCTTCACAAACCCCGAGCTGCAGTGGACTTACTGCATATACATATATCCAATTATCATGTACAAACAAATATAACTTTAACATAAAGTTAACAGAAAGTGCAAATCCCCCCTATATTGATAACTATAGTACAGAAGGTGGTGATGGTAAGTAGCCAAGTGGATCAAGTGTTCAGTCATCAGCCCTGAGACCTGGGTTTCATCCATAACAAAATGTCTAACCAAAATATGAGAACACTACTATGGAATATATACATGAGTATATAGTTATATCACACATTTACTAATAATACACCAGGAGTCAAATCAAAATATTTTTGAAAGCTCAATTATATTTTCAAATGGGGTTATTACAATTGTCCTAGGGTTGCAGGCCACTTCAACCAACACTTAGTCTAAATGGCTGTGTGTAGTGGAGCAGAGTTGTATCCTTTTATCACACTTAAATGTTGAATCCCACATTGTTGGTTTGTCATACGCACACTCATGGGTTTAACATGTGGTAAATGTCTCAGACTGCATCTCTTCAGCATTCCTTCGGGGCGGTCTGGTAGCCTAGTGGTTAAAGCATTCGCTTGTCACGCCGAAGACCCGGGTTCGTTTCCCTAGGGTACAATGTGTGAAGCCCATTTCTGCTGTCCCCCGCCGTGTTATTGCTGGAATATTGCTAAAATTGGCGTAAAACTAAATTCACTCACTCACTCAGGATCGGGCTGACATGCTGTCACATAAATAGAATACTCAAATCACTCATTCACTCTTGACTGCCACTGTTGCTCCTGCTCCAGAAACTTGTTCGGTCAACTGTCCTGGTAAACCCAATATCGACTTCTGAAAACCTGATGTGTACCCAGCCACTAATTTACATGCTCACAAACTCACCCATTATGTAAATAACAGTTACATTTGAGCACAGAAACCTACTGTACTGGTTGTGTGTTGTATGTGAAGATGTTTCAAGAAGATATCAGTGATAGGATCTTGTGTCAGAAATGTATTTTGTGTTCCTGAAGGAAGAATGATTAGACTGCAGTATGGGAGTAACGGTCATAGTTATCGTGGCACTAACATGTTGCAGGGATTTACTGGGACAAAACAACAACTCATACAACTCAAAACTACTAACAAAATGCTGAATTGTTTGTCCTATGAATGTACTCAGTAAGTCTCGTCTGGTTCATATTGCAACACACAGCCATCCATTTGTGGATGTTCTTATCTTAGATAAAGAAAATGGAGATCCTATGCAATGAAATGGAGCAGTAGGATTAAACATGCTCAGAGATTTGGTGTTCCCCAACTGAAACAGTGTTCAAAGAACATAATGCCTTTGGTATTTATTAGATTGTTACATACAGAAACTGATTTTCAGTAGGGCCAAATTATGAATTATGATTCATTCATATTCCAGTGTATGTACTTCATGTTTTGGTGTACATTTTGATTCATAAATGATGCATTGTTTGGCTTCCTGTAAATCCCTCACATGTTTCACAATGCACTGATACCGGGTACCCACTTAACCGAACCCTTGGGTTGAGCGTGGTATGGCTGTAATGCTGACTGGGTTGAGTGTGGTATGGCTGTAATGCTGTCTGGGTTGAGTGTGGTATGGCTGTAATGCTGACTGGGTTGAGCGTGGTATGGCTGTAATGCTGACTGGGTTGAGCGTGGTATGGCTGTAATGCTGACTGGGTTGAGCGTGGTATGGCTGTAATGCTGTCTGGGCTGAGCTGATGGGTGGTAGTGTGCCTGCTGTAATGCTGTCTGGGTTGAGTGTGGTATGGCTGTAATGCTGTCTGGGCTGTAAGCTGTCTGGGTATGTGGTATGGCTGTAATGCTGTCTGGGTTGAGTGTGGTATGGCTGTAATGCTGACTGGGTTGAGTGTGGTATGGCTGTAATGCTGTCTGGGTTGAGTGTGGTATGGCTGTAATGCTGTCTGGGTTGAGTGTGGTATGGCTGTAATGCTGACTGAGTGTGTGGTATGGCTGTAATGCTGAGTGTGGTATGGCTGTAATGCTGACTGGGTTGAGTGTGGTATGGCTGTAATGCTGTCTGGGTTGAGTGTGGTATGGCTGTAATGCTGTCTGGGCTGAGTGTGGTATGGCTGTAATGCTGACTGGGCTGCTGTCTGGGTGGTATGGCTGTAATGCTGTCTGGCTGAGTATGGCTGGAGCTGTAATGGTAATGCTGTCTGGGCTGTAATGGCTAATGCTGACTGGGTTGAGCGTGGTATGGCTGTAATGCTGTCTGGCTCTGGGTTGAGCGTGGTATGGCTGTAATGCTGTCTGGAGTTGAGTGTGGCATGGCTGTAATGCTGACTGGGTTGAGTGTGGTATGGCTGTAATGCTGTCTGGGTTGAGTGTGGTATGGCTGTAATGCTGTCTGCTGAGTGTGGTATGGCTGTAATGCTGTCTGGGTTGAGCCGTGGTTGAGCGTTGGTATGGCTGTAATGCTGTCTGGGTTGAGTGTGGTATGGCTGTAATGCTGTCTGGGTTGAGTGTGGTATGGCTGTAATGCTGTCTGGGTTGAGTGTGGTATGGCTGTAATGCTGACTGGGTTGAGTGTGGTATGGCTGTAATGCTGTCTGGGTTGAGCGTGGTATGGCTGTAATGCTGTCTGGGTTGAGCGTGGTATGGCTGTAATGCTGTCTGGTTGTAATGCGTGGTATGGCTGTAATGCTGTCTGGGCTGAGTGGTGGTATGGCTGTAATGCTGTGGCTGTAACGCTGGTTGAGCGTGGTATGGCTGTAATGCTGTCTGACTCTGAGCCGCGGGCTGAAGCGTATGGGTATGGCTGTAATGCTGTCTGGGTTGAGTGTGGTATGGCTGTAATGCTGCTGTTGACTGGGCTGAGGTTGAGCTGTGGTATGGCTGTAATGCTGTCTGGGCTGACTGAGTGAGTGTGGCTGTAGGGCTGGGTAATGCTGGGTTCTGGCTGTAATGCTGAGTGTACTGTAATGTGGTATGGCTGTAATGCTGACTGGGTTGAGCGTGGTATGGCTGTAATGCTGTCTGGGCTGAGTGTGGTATGGCTGTAATGCTGTCTGGGTTGAGTGTGGTATGGCTGTAATGCTGCTGTCTGTAATGCTGTCTGGGTTGAGCGTGGTATGGCTGTAATGCTGTCTGGGTTGAGCGTGGTATGGCTGTAATGCTGACTGGGTTGAGTGTGGTATGGCTGTAATGCTGTCTGGGTTGAGTGTGGTATGGCTGTAATGCTGACTGGGTTGAGTGTGGTATGGCTGTAATGCTGTCTGGGTTGAGTGTGGTATGGCTGTAATGCTGTCTGGGTTGTGCGTGGTATGGCTGTAATGCTGACTGGGTTAAGTCGTGGTATGGCTGTAATGCTGTCTGCACAATGTCACAACATTCACTCACTGCCTGACATGACAGTATGTCAGCATGCATGTGTCAACCAATGGCTGCATCACAATGAACTGGGTAGCATATTACTATGAGTACAATGGGGCTATCTGTACACCATGTGTAGCTTCAGTGTATTACGGTCATCTCCTGTGTTGCATGTGTCAACAGGACAGGTAGGTGACTTGGAAAGGGTTTTCCTAACTGCATGCCACATATACAATACAATACCAGGCCTCGTCAGTTGTTTCTCCAACAGTGTGGATATTGCATGAAAGTGTTCAGGTTGTCTGCATGGCGTCATAGTTGTGGTACAAATATATTTATTTTATTTAGCACTTTGATGTGACAGTGTTTTACAATGGCATGCATTTGTTGTCTTACAACATGTTAAGATTTCAGTCTGAATGTATACTGTTCACAAGAAGTTAAAGAGCTTGCATTTTTTAAATTTTAATTCTCTCATGTAGAATTGTTGTGAGTGAGTGAGTTTAGTTTTACGCCGACTCAGCAATATTCCAGCTATATGGCACTGCTCTGTAAATAATTGAGTTTGGACCACACAATCCAGTGATCAACAGCATGAGCATCAATCTACGTGTTTGGGAACCGAAGTCACGTGTCAACCAAGTCAGCAAGCCTGATCACCCGATCCCGTTAGTCGCCTCTTACGACAAGCATGGGTTTCTGAAGATCAAATCTAACCCGGATCTTCAGGGGTCTGTAGAATTGTATGTTCCCTAACTTCTTTTGAGCAGTACATATGAGGCTCCCAGGGATTGATCTTGACAGCTCAGAGGCTGATATTTGGCCCTTAATTTGCAGCAAATGTCAGGTACTAAAAGTGACATACCAAATGGAAAATCAAATACAAAAGCCTTTTCTTAATTATGCCATCTTACAAAGCAAGAGCAGGTGCAACCTAAGATAGAAGAGACTTAGTTGAAGCCAAACTTAATTAAAATGTTTCAGTGCCATCAGTGATGTAGTACAAAGTCATGTTAGGGTGCCTCTGACATAAGAAGTTTTGGCCACTAAGTTCACACTCTTATATCCCTGGGTAATATTGGGTTCTCTTGAAAGAGGTGAGTTTGTAAGAACTCTGCCTCCTAAGTTCACACTCTTATATCCCTGGGCCTCTCTTGAAAGAGGTGAGTTTGTAACAAAATGACCAACTGTCTTGATTCAGATTGAATGTTTCTAAGATTTGAGATTGGCTCCTCTGTGTAAACAGTTTTGTTTGTTAATTGACCCTTGTGTATTTGTGTTTGCCCTGTTTTTGTGTTATGGAAGACTAACCTGTATTAGTACGTAGATCGTGTTTCTAGCAGCATGCTCTATTTATTTCAGCTTTCTCTCCACCCAAAAGAATGGAGCCTTTCCAGCCCCCGCCTGATGACTGTAAGTGCATGCTGGGAGTTACTCTGAATTCCTCCTCCATGATCCAGTGTATCCTCATCCCATCAGTGTCTAGTACAGGATCTCTCACTGATCCAAGTAATTGGATAGGAAGGCCGTTATGGCACCATGTAAATGTGGGTTCCAATCAAGGCTATAGTAGTAGGTGGGACAAGTGTATATATTTTGGACGAATGGATGGAATTGTTTGAACGGAATGGACGTTGAAACACTGGGTAATGGAGGTTGCTTAAGATAACCAACTGTTAAGTGATATGACTGAATGCTGCTGTCATAGTGAGGGATGTTTTTTAGGACAATTATTTGTCTTCAGGTATTGCAACCTAAATATTTGATGTGGACATATGGGATAATCAGGGGAAACTAGCATCCAACCTGAAAAACAGGGATATAGTGATCAGCCTTTTCTGTCTCTGGTGCTGAACTAAAAACCATTGAATATAAATTTAATCTGGTGAAACTTGCTACACAGGTCAGCCTAGTGACAAACTTTGAAAGTTATATGTATTTATTTATGTTTTGGATTTTACTGAAAATGAGTGCAGTGCTTGTTTCTTGAGCATAACTCCCAAACCATTGAAATTTCCTTAGGAACTACTAGTACAGATCTGTCATACTATTCTACTGGTGCCTTCAAATGATTTGTCATATTGAAAGATACTCAGTAGCATTGCTCCTTAACTGGAGGTATCCCATGTTAGTGAACCCAAAATGGGATATAAATAGCAAAATGAACTGCACCAGACAGTGGTCATATGCCAGTTCCTGATGACTCTTGTTTTCCAATTTTGTTTTTCTCCAAGAATAAGTTGTATGTTGAAACCCTGACTGATAATATTATATTATATCCTATGCCCAACTAACGTCCCCTGTCTCCTGCACCAAGCCATTAAGTTTTGTATCCCCAAGTACATAAATATGGATATGATTGGAAAGAGTAACCAGTGCCTTACGTTTGCTTTAAATCCGAGTTACCTCCCTTTCTTTTTCACTGTAACCAACTGAAACTGGCAAATGGTGGCTCATAGGAGCATCACATCTGGTGAAACAGCACCAGGCACTGTGGGCGAGTTGCGGTGAATTGGGTTTAACGTTGTACTTAAGATTATTTCGCTCATATGACGACGTGCATGCATGTGTATGTGTGGCTGCTTGTATTAGCCCAGACTTAAGCAGGTTTTATACTGCCAGCTCAATGAGATACCATGACACATTATACTGACTCTGAGCTGACCTGTCCTTGTTGTACCCATTAATGCCGAGAGCCAGGCAGGGCCCAACAAGTACCACATCTTAACGTCTTTTGGTGTGACGCAGCCGGGGATCGAACCCAGAACCTTCCACTCTCCGGGCGGATGCTCTAGCCACTACACCACGGAGGCGGTCAGGCATTGTGGGAGGATAAAGGACTTGAACAGTTCTCATATAATACTGTTGAACATTAATGGTTACAAGGCCCTCAATAGTTGCTCCAGTACAAGCATGTAATCCTTGTCACTGAAAACAGCAGTGACAATACGTCACTTACTCATCAACCTCTAAGTACAAACACACCAAATATTATTACCGGTATAACACTGACAGTAAGTTTCATCGTTGTGTCCAACCAGATCATGCATGACTAAGTCATTCTGTTTTAACTTGGCTTGTTTCTGCGTAAGCTAAATGAGACAACATGGCTGAAGTGTATGCTATTGCAAACAATTGTCGGTGTTGGTTATTTGTCACCAATGGATTTTATGAAGTTATTGTTGCAAACAATATTTTGGATATTCAAAGATAGAATTGTATTTTGAAATCATAGACAATTTCAGTTTCTTTTGGAAACCAAGTAAATTACTTTTTCTGTGTATCAATGCCTGTATTTAGTTGCTGCAACATGTACAAGAAACAAGCCAGGTCAAAGCCATTGCATACTGGAAAATGATAGTGTTGTAGCACTTAATATAATGACTGCTTGCATTGTGTCCTTGACTGAATTATTGTGATGATGTTTTAGAATAATTTTTTAATTTTGACTTTGAAGTGAACAGACAATGCATTCCCCTTGCTGAATATCTAACGTACATGATGACTTGATTGCAGTCGCTGAGCCAGAGAGAACATCAGATAGACGATCAAATACATCTGCTGATAGAAAGACACACAAAGTAGTACATTCCCCACCCAGAAAAGCTGAACGAGACCCTCCAAGGAGAGTTGAAAGGTCACCACCTCAAGATCCTCCACCAAGAGATCCGCCACCACGGAGAATTGAGAGGTCACCTCCTCGGGACTCGCCCCGGAGAATCGAGAGATCACCACCCCGAGAAGCCCCACGGGCAAGAGACCCTTCCCCTCCCAGGAGGAAGGAGCCCTCACCCCCACGTCGAGAGCAAGCTACCAGGAACATCTCCTCCGCCCACAACAAGGGTTCTGGGATAGCTGCAGAGGACTTCCTCTCTGTAAGTTGTGGCTTGTTGTTTCAGTGACGCCAGTACCCAGTGCTCGGTGTTAGATCAGCTGGTTGACACACTGTGTGTTGTGGCTTGTTGTTTCAATGACGCCAGTACCCAGTGCTCGGTGTTAGATCAGCTGGTTGGCACACTGTGTGTTGTGGCTTGTTGTTTCAATGACGCCAGTACCCAGTGCTCGGTGTTAGATCAGCTGGTTGGCACACTGTGTGTTGTGGCTTGTTGTTTCAATGACGCCAGTACCCAGTGCTCGGTGTTAGATCAGCTGGTTGGCACACTGTATGTTGTGGCTTGTTGTTTCAATGAAGCCAGTACCCAGTGCTCGGTGTTAGATCAGCTGGTTGGCACACTGTATGTTGTGGCTTGTTGTTTCAATGACGCCAGTACCCAGTGCTCGGTGTTAGATCAGCTGGTTGACACACTGTGTGTTGTGGCTTGTTGTTTCAATGACGCCAGTACCCAGTGCTCGGTGTTAGATCAGCTGGTTGACACACTGTGTGTTGTGGCTTGTTGTTTCAATGAATGACGCCAGTACCCAGTGCTCTGTGTGTTGTGGCTTTGTTGTTAGAGTCAGTTAGATGTGCACACCTGTATGTTGTGGCTTGTTGTTTCAGTGACGCCAGTACCCAGTGCTCGGTGTTAGATCAGCTGGTTGACACACTGTGTGTTGTTGAACCCTGATGGTGTGGTTCACTGCTCAGTACATCAACAGGGATTTACAGGACGCTAATTCCTGCATCCTAAACACATAAAAATTGACAATGGATGCAACAAAATTTATTAGCGCGTCCATGGAGGGACTCAGATAAAGTCCAAATACTTTTTGTAAAAATTCCAGTCAAGTGACAATAAGTTAGCACTGAGTTTGTTACGAGCTGGGTTATAGTATTATTTGCAATTTAATTACTGTACAATGTGATGATCATGATGCACAATACAATAACAGTATTAATAATAATATTTAAGACCCCCAGTTTTTTGTCCAGGACCCCTGAAAATTAAGAGTGTGAGTCCCAGGGACCCTCAAATACAAGACTCCATGTAAATCCCTGCATCAGCCACTGGACTCCCTGGTCCAGACTTGAACTGACCCTGTAAATATACATGAAATAGTTCACACTTGGCAGAAAACTCTCTCTCGTGTCAACATTGTGATATTTTGGCAAATTTGGTGAAGTTTTGGGTTCTTCATTTGCTAAACTCGGATTTTGAAAAGGAAGAAAACTAACTTTCTCTTTGCTCTGCCTCCTTGGCCTGGGATGATGTATGTCCCTACCCAGGCAGTTCCTTTGTTGTGATGTATGAACTACAAGAAAGAGGAATGTACTTGCTTAGCAGTCAAACACACCTCCTGATAAGTCTTGTTTACTGAGAATTACTGTTTTGTCATATTTGTGTGAATAAGTTCCCTGTTTTGCATCATGGCCATTAATTCTATATTCAATACATTTTCTATTGAAGTCCTCTAAATGTTCTTCGGCAGACCTTACTGTTAGTGCACGTGAACTTGGCAGAAAAACATGATACATGAAATACAGTGGGGAATAACCAACTTGCCACACCCTCACAAGGAACTTGTATTATTTTTGATTATATTTATCAGAATAAGTCTGTAATTTATTATGTTTTGTGATACAATCAGTTTTGAGATTCATTGTGTATATATTGTCACAGAAAGCCGACTATGACAGGGGAGGTAACTCCAGCAACATGTCTGAGTCCGAGGTGCTGTCTTCAATCCAGAAGGGCCATGACGCCATGATGAAGGTCATGACAAGTCGGGGGCGGAATCTGCAGATAGTCCGCGCCATGTGGACATCAGGAAATACCAAGGTAAATGTTTTATATCACGCAATATTACTAGCTGTCGTGTTGTGGTGTAAGTGCAGGACCTGATGTATACCAGTAACAATGGTCAAAGTAAACACTATCTATAGATAATCACCTGCAGTATAGATCTTAATGCTGCCAATGAGCTTGACAACGATAAAAGTGTCTGTTCCAAAATGCTGCCATTACAGTAAAACATTTCAGTTGACACCTGTCAGTGTTAAGGAAATGCCTATCAGTAAACCAAGTGTAGGCAGGTTGATGTATTGGTTGAAGTAACCAGGGAATTGTGGATAGTCTGTCGCAATGAGTGAGTGGTGTGACTCCATAGGATGGGGGACCTTACACAATGGATAGATTATCATTAATTATGAATCCCATGAGAATCCTGACTAGAAGTCATCTTCAGCAATCTTGCAAGAGGTGATATGCAGATATGGGGAGACTGTTACAGTCCATGCTTGAACACTAGGGATGGTATCATACATATACTTTTTCACAGACTGCCATAGACTCTGCTCTGAGTATGAAAGATCCAGCAGTGATGATTGACATCCTCAATGTTCTCAACACCAAGACGTGAGTATAAATACCATCTGATCATATGTCAATCTTAGGTCATGTGAGGTACTATGAGTGATCTGAGGTACTGTGGGTCATCTGAAGTACTATGGGTCATGTGAGGTCCTGTGGGTCATGTGAGGTACTGTGGGTCATCTGAGGTACTATGGGTCATGTGGGGTACCGTGGGTCATGTGAGGTACTGTGGACCATTTGAGGTATCGTGGGTCATGTGAGGTACCGTGGGTCATGTGAGGTACTGTGGGTACTGTGGGTCATGTGAGGTACCGTATGTGAGGTACCGTGGGTCATGGGAGGTACTGACGGTCATGGGATGTACCGTGGGTAATGGGAGGGGTACCGTGGGTCATGTGGGGTACCGTGGGCCATGTGAGGTACCGTGGGCCATGGGAGGTACCGTGGACCATGTGAGGTACCATGGGCCATGTGAGGTACCGTGGACCATGTGAGGTACCGTGGGCCATGTGAGGTACCGTGGACCATGTGAGGTACCGTGGGTCATGTGAGGTACCATGGGTCATGTGCGGTACCGTGGGTCATGCGAGGTACCGTGGGTTCATGTGAGGTACTGTGGGTCATGTGAGGTACCGTGGAACCGTGGGTCATGTGAGGTACCGTGGGTCATGTGAGGTACCGTGGACCATGTGAGGTACCGTGGGTCATGTGAGGTACCGTGGGTCATGTGAGGTACCGTGGGTCATGTGAGGTACCGTGGGTCATGTGAGGTACCCGTGGTTCATGTGAGGTACTGTGGGTCATGTGAGGTACCGTGGAGGTACCGTGGGTCATGTGAGGTACCGTGGGTCATGTGAGGTACCGTGGGTCATGTGAGGTACCGTGGGTCATGTGAGGTACTGTGGGTCATGTAGGTCACTGTGGAACCGTGGGTCATGTGGAGGTACATGTGGGTCATGTGAGTCACCGTGGGTCATGTGAGGTACCGTGGGTCATGTGAGGTACCGTGGGTCATGTGAGGTACCGTGGGTCATGTGAGGTACCGTCGGTCACCGTGGGTCATGTGAGGTACTATGGGTCATGTGGGTGGGTCAGGTACCGTGGGTCATGTGAGGTACCGTGGGTCATGTGAGGTACTATGGGTCACCATGGTTCGTGGGTCCGTGTGAGGTACTGTGGGTCATGTGAGGTACCATGGTTCATGTGAGATACCGTGGGTCATGTGAGGTACCGTTGGTCATGTGAGGTACTGTGGGTCATGTGAGGTACCATGTGTCATCTGAGGTACTATGGGTAAATGTACTAAAGGGTTGTGTTTCTTAGGCAAACTATGTAAGTGTGATTGAGGTTTGCATTAAGTTAAAAAATTGATTAATTTTATTATTATTTATTATTAATTTTCTGGGTATAAACAAAACGTATATGATACAGTCGTCAAAGGAGCTTCTTCCTGTCATGTCTCACCCCAACCTGTTTCCCGTGCAGGTCTCTGTGGAACCTGGATCTCTGTTCCACCCTTCTGCCTCATCTCAAAGATATGCTCAACAGCAAATATGAAAGGTGGGTCCATCATCTCCACTCCCCAAGTGAGGCTTGTATCTTGTGTTCCCCACAGCTGAACACGTTGTATGCCAATCACAAGTTTCACATGTTGGCAAAATAGGCATCTCTTGGCGTTCTTTGTTACCGCCAGGAGACGATTGCTTCTGTGCCAGACATTTATACTACGAGTATATTTATGGTGGCAGTCAACGTGTTAAAACAAACAACATACATTCGTCCCCATACGACTACGATATGTGGGTATTTTAATCAGATCTTTTATGCCAGTACAATACCCCCTACTTAAGGATCTGACACGTTCTCCATGAGGGGTTGGTTGCATCAGGTGAATTTAGAAACCTAGATGCTGATTGGCTGATATTAAGTTCATCTGATGCAACCTCCAATGGGAGCTTTGTCAAATGTTCACACAGCGAGAGAGGTACAAAATTATAATTTTTCTCGAATGAATTCTCTGGTCCACTGTCAACACTGTTACTAGTATTTTATTCCACTGCCTATTCATTGATGAAGGAACAAGGAACTCTTCAGCATAATCACATCTGCCATTTCAAGCTTTCAAGGATGGGAACCCTGAGTCTGGTGTTCTGTTTTCAGCTATGTACTTACTACTGCTACGTCTATCAAACTGATCCTGCGGAACATGGGCCCCGTGATAAAGGCCAACATGACAGCGCCCCCTAGTATAGGTGTCGACATATCTAGGGAAGAGAGGTAAGAATACATGCATACTATAGTATGACTTAAAATGGTTTAAATTAATGTTCAAGATTATTGCACTTCTACTGAGGCATGTGTTCATGCAGTCCTGGGTGAACTAACACTATACAAGCAGTAATGGTACATGAACGTATGTACACATCACTATAAAAGCAGTAATCATGATGTTAACCTCATTTCACCATCTCATTGCCCTCAATCTGAATCTAACCCATGCTTGTCATAGGAGGCAACTATTTGGATCAGGTGGTCAGACTGGCAACTTGGTTGACACATGTCATTCATTGTATCCCAATTGAGTAGATCTATGCCCATGATGTTGATCACTGGATTGTCTGGTCCAGATTTGATTGTTTTACAGACCGCCTCCGTACAGCTGGAATATTGCTGAGTGTGGCGTTAAACAACCAACCAACCAATCTGAATCTCCCAATAGCCAGGTCCAAATTCAATTTTTCATAGTTAATGATGATTTGGTGGTTTAGTTGATAAGTTCCAAGTTGGACTATAGTCAGCTGGACTATAGCTGAGTCTGGCACTAAGGAACAAACAAGTGACTGTTGAACCATGACTGTATATGTTGGCAGGCACCAGAAGTGTCACACCTGCTACATGTCGCTGATGGACATCCGTCTGCTGCTGGAGAAGAGGCAGGGACTGGCTGGGAAGCTCGGCAGCACCTTCAAGGAGGTGATGCTGCTCATGGGAACCCTGGACTGATCACCTGCAGCAACATGTTGACCAGTGGGCTGGAAGACAAGGGAGGGAGGGCAGGTGTCATCAGCTTTGCTAAACTGTCTGAAGATTAACACGATTGTGTCCACTGCTGATCTGGACAGTGTTTGTGGCTTAACTAGAGCGTGTCTGCAGCTGGTATGCCTGAACATTAACAGGATAATGTCGGAGTCAATCATGGCTGATTGGCACAAAATACTACAAAGATATACATTTACGACAAGTCTGTTTTCCTGAATTCATATAATTGTCAAGATCTGTGTGTGTGAAATGCATTTGAATAATGTGGGACATAGGAGAGACTGGATCGTCCATGGACCCATGGCTACAAGATGTCTACAGTGTAGGGCTCAGTGGGGTTTATTGGTCCATGGCAGAAATATGTCCACTACATCCGGCAGGATCAGTGGTTTGGGGGTCAGTGGATCCATGGCCACAAGATGTCCGCTACATCAGGCAGGATCAGTGGTTTGGGAGTCAGTGGATCCATGGCCACAAGATGTCAGCTACATCAGGCAGGATCAGTGGTTTGGGAGTCAATGGATCCATGGCCACAAGATGTCAGCTACATCAGGCAGGATCAGTGGTTTGGGGGTCAATGGATCCATGGCCACAAGATGTCAGCTACATCAGGCAGGATCAGTGGTTTGGGGGTCAATGGATCCATGGCCACAAGATGTCAGCTACATCAGGCAGGATCAGTGGTTTGGGGGTCAATGGATCCATGGCCACAAGATGTCAGGATCAGTAGGGTTGAAGTTTGATGGATCCATGGAAACATGATGTCCATTACATCAGGATCAGTTGTCGAAGGTTCTGTGACCACTACAACAGGATCAATGGGTTACTGGTCCATGGATCTGTGGCCACAAGATGTCACTACATCAGGATCAGTGGGGTTGACTCTCCTACCCACTGGTTCTAATGTACCTCGTGTGCATTTTTCTGATGTACCTCGTGTGTACTGTAATGAGTTTGGTATTTATTGCAGAGATTTATTCGAGTGTTGATTCCTGAACCTTGCACCTGAAGGAAGTAAGAATTCAGATAAAAAGTTCAAGAAACAATGTATAAAACCTCACAAGCAATATATGTACTTGAGATATGATACATCTGTGTTGTACTCTATTGGTGCAGACTGAACACTGCTGTCCAGTTTCGTGCATCAGTGCTGTGTGTCACTTTGAATCAGTGTTGCCAGATGATTCCATACCACAATAGATGCCTAGTGTTCCTGTCGGTGTTCCAGATGAACACCAGAGTCTCCAGTCCTGGTCTGTGACTGTGACTGAAGCAATGGAGGGAGACAGTCATGTGTCCAGCCAGTCACGTGTCCAGCCAGTCATGTGTCCAGGTGTTCTGAGTGCCCTGACTCTCGTCCATCATCCAGTGCTCATGTGGCCCAGCATATTTTGACCTTCCTTCCAACAACCTTACACCCTTCAAAACCATTCATGGACTGAACATTACACAGAATGGAACGTCCTACTTTCTACATTGAGGGCTGGCTGGTAGCAATGGATAATTGATGAAAATGGCAAAGTCATTTTGCTTGTGAAATGAGGTTCTGAAATTATTTTCACAAACATGACATTATTATTTGTATAAAGAGAAGTACGATGTGAGCTAATGGTTGCAGATGTCATGAAGTACATAACACGCTTTTGTTTGGAGTGAATCAAATAAGTGCTTCAGTGTTCAGTGTTTGAGTGTTGATGGAAGTGTAGCCTGTAATTCTCCGTCTCCTGTGTGTATATACTGATTGACTGTTTCATGAATGTTAGCTTGGTGACCCAGTTGGGTTCATATAACACGGATGTACAGAGTAGAACATGGCTATGATCACTGATGTAGCTCTCCAAACTCTCTAACAGGAATTTCAGAAGTCTTGACTCCATTACTATCACCATGGTAAATGCAGCACGTTAAGTGATGCAGTAAGTGTACCTAAGCATCTATGTATTATTTGCAATAATGAAGTTGTCAGTCACAGTTCGTGGATCAAAAACCTTTTCATCTCACACTTTCTTCCCTATTTGACAGCAGGAAAATGTATGAACTGTCGCAATTTTGCAAGAACCAGGATTCAGCAAGTTTCGACTGTCGCATCGAGTCTCGTACAGCTATGTTTTACTATGTGGATACTGAATGTGCACAGGGCTGCAACAACCCTCTCTATGCTCTCATCACTAGTGGAGATGGCCAGCTCTCATCACTAGTGGAGACGGCCAGCTGTATGCTCTCATCACTAGTGGAGACGGCCAGCTGTATGCTCTCATCACTTGTGGAGACGGCCAGCTGTATGCTCTCATCACTTGTGGAGACGGCCAGCTGTATGCTCTCATCACTTGTGGAGATGGCCATCATCACTTGTGGAGACGGCCAGCTGTATGCTCTCATCACTAGTGGAGACGGACAGCTGTATGCTCTCATCACTAGTGGAGACGGCCAGCTGTATGCTCTCATCACTAGTGGAGACGGCCAGCTGTATGCTCTCATCACTTGTGGAGACGGCCAGCTGTATGCTCTCAGTGGAGACGGCCAGCTGCATGCTATGCTCTCATCACTGTGGAGTGGCCAGCTGGCCACTTGTGGAGATGGCCAGCTGTATGCTCTCATCACTAGTGGAGACGGCCAGCTGTATGCTCTCATCACTAGTGGAGATGGACAGCTGTATGCTCTCATCACTTGTGGAGACGGACAGCTGTATGCTCTCATCACTTGTGGAGATGGCCAGCTGTATGCTCTCATCACTAGTGGAGATGGCCAGCTGTATGCTCTCATCACTAGTGGAGATGGCCAGCTGTATGCTCTCATCACTAGTGGAGATGTATGCTCTCATCACTAGTGGAGATGGACAGCTGTTATGCTCTCATCACTTGTGGAGACGGCCAGCTGTATGCACTCATCACTTGTGGAGACGGACAGCTGTATGCTCTCATCCCTTGTGGAGACGGCCAGCTGTATGCTCTCATCACTTGTGGAGACGGACAGCTGTATGCTCTCATCACTATCTTTGATAGGAAGATTGTTCTCCCGGAGCCACACATGTTGAACATACATTTATTATATTATTTATTGAGCAGTTTTATCTGATGTATGATGTATCATGTGATTCGGTGAACAGTACCATGTTTATCCATACTGATACCAGTAGTTATGCAAGTTCCGTAAACATGGTCGTCTAGCAAAACCTGTCATTGTGTGTCTCAGTACAAGATCTCAGAATACACACTCATCTACTCACCATTACACATATTTCCTATATGTCCAGATGTAACAGAAGTTATTTAGTGAAAGGAGAATGTATTTATGGAAATATATTAATACAGGGGCTGTTACCTCATATATCGTCAGTATGTGATGTGCAGTGGTATCCTTACTGAACCTGTTATCCCTCTCAGAGAATAATCCTATATACATGTATCTTGGAACCTCCATGTGTATCCCAATCAATGGAGTAGCCTCATGGTTAAAGCGTTTGCTCATTACACCAAGGGTTCAATTCCCCACATACATACAATGTGTGAAGCTCATTTCTGGTGTCCCCTGCCGTGATATTGCTGGAATATTGCAAAAACAAGCATAAAACCCAGATCACTCACTCAGTGTATATGTATCATTGCATATGAGAGTCCCTCATCTGTATTGCTTACTAAGAAAGACATAGCAAGGATATAATCTGAACTGCTGATCATAAAATGTGAATATTGTTAGTTTGATTCAAGTTACAAAATGATTGTTCATCTGCAAACTTAATGGTTTATACCACTCAAACTCAAAGGGATATTCTATGGAGACAGAAAGTGATGAATTGCTTGGACATGTTGTCAGGCAAGTAGTATGCCAAGCAACATACCAACTTGAAATCAAAATACACATTTCAATATGTTACTGTCCTTGTTTTTAAAATTGTATGAATATGATCAAAACACCGACAGCAAGGTGTATTAACCAACAAAACATCCGACATCTCGGCAATGTTTAATGTGAAGGTAATATCCATGAATAGTGATAAGGTTTCCTTCTTTTAAACTCTGTTTTATGTATGCAGGCATTCAGCTTTGTATTTTCCAGTTAGATGTTCTGTCAGTTTACAGATTGCAACATCGCTGAATTCCACACAACTCAAGCAATGTCTGATAAGGACAGGAAACACTGTCCACACGCAGTCCATAATGTCAACAGTCAGCACTTTCTCATTTCACTGAATCATGAAGTTACAAGTCCCTTTGATCTGACCATGTCTGGAATGACCTATGCAAGATGTTTAAAGTTATCGGCGCTTGTACTTCACAGATACTTTATATTTCCACTTTTATCAGCCAGTATGTACTTGGGTACAACAGTCCTTGTCATTATCGGTGTGAGTCTGATTTCATACTGTATCACTTGTAATATTTACACTTATCTTGCAGTTTTGAAACTGATTGAAGGTAGTTTTCGTTCATTTCATCTTGAGTGACAGTTACATGCGCATTGTCGCTGACACATTTCAGTGTCTTGAATTTTGACCAATGTTTTACTTTGATGGCTGTAAATATACCTCAAGACATCTGAGAAATGATTCCGTACAGTTTTGGAGGTGCTGATCTGAAAACACAGTCTAATCAGTTTTATTGAGAAATGTTCGCCAATATTATGTTTTTGCAGCATTAGGAGTTGAGTGGCAGTTTATCACACATTTCTTGGCGTTGTTAATTGCACAAGCTGGCACCATGGCTGTCAAGGTGGTGTACGGGTTGCCGAGTAACCATTCCAGTACTTAATTCAGATAGCATTGCTTGAAAACCATGTAATCATATTCATGACTATTCTATCTCATGACTTACGTAAAGAAGCTGAAGCACAACAATCCAAGACGTCATTACTGGGATTCCTCCATATTTCATTCATGCATCATATCTACTTCAAGACAGACATATGCAAGAAGTTTCTTCAGTTCATTTGACTGTACCATCTATGGTGGAGTGAATACAGCTCTGTAGAGAGAGCCTTGGCCTGTGTGACTGTACCATCTATGGTGGAGTGAATACAGCTCTGTAGAGAGAGCCTTGGCCTGTGTGACTGTACCATCTATGGTGGAGTGAATACAGTTCTGTAGAGAGAGCCTTGGCCTGTGTGACTGTACCATCTATGGTGGAGTGAATACAGCTCTGTAGAGAGAGCCTTGGCCTGTGTGACTGTACCATCTATGGTGGAGTGAATACAGTTCTGTAGAGAGCCTTGGCCTGTGTGACTGTACCATCTATGGTGGAGTGAATACAGTTCTGTAGAGAGAGCCTTGGCCTGTGTGACTGTACCATCTATGGTGGAGTGAATACAGCTCTGTAGAGAGAGCCTTGGCCTGTGTGACTGTACCATCTATGGTGGAGTGAATACAGCTCTGTAGAGAGAGCCTTGGCCTGTGTGACTGTACCATCTATGGTGGAGTGAATACAGCTCTGTAGAGAGAGCCTTGGCCTGTGTGACTGTACCATCTATGGTGGAGTGAATACAGCTCTGTAGAGAGAGCCTTGGCCTGTGTGACTGTACCATCTATGGTGGAGTGAATACAGCTTCTGTAGAGAGCCTTGGCCTGTGTGACTGTACCATCTATGGTGGAGTGAATACAGCTCTGTAGAGAGCCTTGGCCTGTGTGACTGTACCATCTATGGTGGAGTGAATACAGCTCTGTAGAGAATACAGAGTAGAGAGATGGCCTGTGTGACTGTACCATCTATGGTGGAGTGAATACAGCTCTGTAGAGAGAGCCTTGGCCTGTGTGACTGTACCATCTATGGTGGAGTGAATACAGCTCTGTAGAGAGAGCCTTGGCCTGTGTGACTGTACCATCTATGGTGGAGTGAATACAGCTCTGTAGAGAGAGCCTTGGCCTGTGTGACTGTACCATCTATGGTGGAGTGAATACAGCTCTGTAGAGAGAGCCTTGGCCTGTGTGACTGTACCATCTATGGTGGAGTGAATACAGCTCTGTAGAGAGCCTTGGCCTGTGTGACTGTACCATCTATGGTGGAGTGAATACAGCTCTGTAGAGAGAATACCTTGGCCTGTGTGACTGTACCATCTATGGTGGAGTGAATACAGCTCTGTAGAGAGAGCCTTGGCCTGTGTGACTGTACCATCTATGGTGGAGTGAATACAGCTCTGTAGAGAGAGCCTTGGCCTGTGTGACTGTACCATCTATGGTGGAGTGAATACAGCTCTGTAGAGAGAGCCTTGGCCTGTGTGACTGTACCATCTATGGTGGAGTGAATACAGCTCTGTAGAGAGAGCCTTGGCCTGTGTGACTGTACCATCTATGGTGGAGTGAATACAGTTCTGTAGAGAACCTTGGCCTGTGTGACTGTACCATCTATGGTGGAGTGAATACAGCTCTGTAGAGAGAGCCTTGGCCTGTGTGACTGTACCATCTATGGTGGAGTGAATACAGCTCTGTAGAGAGAGCCTGTGGCCTGTGTGACTGTACCATCTATGGTGGAGTGAATACAGTTCTGTAGAGAGAGCCTTGGCCTGTGTGACTGTACCATCTATGGTGGAGTGAATACAGCTCTGTAGAGAGAGCCTTGGCCTGTGTGACTGTACCATCTATGGTGGAGTGAATACAGCTCTGTAGAGAGAGCCTTGGCCTGTGTGACTGTACCATCTATGGTGGAGTGAATACAGCTCTGTAGAGAGAGCCTTGGCCTGTGTGACTGTACCATCTATGGTGGAGTGAATACAGCTCTGTAGAGAGAGCCTTGGCCTGTGTGACTGTACCATCTATGGTGGAGTGAATACAGCTCTGTAGAGAGAGCCTTGGCCTGTGTGACTGTACCATCTATGGTGGAGTGAATACAGCTCTGTAGAGAGAGCCTTGGCCTGTGTGACTGTACCATCTATGGTGGAGTGAATACAGCTCTGTAGAGAGAGGCCTTGGCCTGTGTGACTGTACCATCTATGGGTGGAGTACAATAGAGAGCCTCTGTAGTAGAGCCTTGGCCTGTGTGACTGTACCATCTATGGTGGAGTGAATACAGCTCTGTAGAGAGAGCCTTGGCCTGTGTGACTGTACCATCTATGGTGGAGTGAATACAGCTCTGTAGAGAGAGCCTTGGCCTGTGTGACTGTACCATCTATGGTGGAGTGAATACAGTTCTGTAGAGAGAGCCTTGGCCTGTGTGACTGTACCATCATCTATGGTGGAGTGAATACAGCTCTGTAGAGAGAGCCTTGGCCTGTGTGACTGTGTACCATCTATGGTGGAGTGAATACAGCTCTGTAGAGAGAGCCTTGGCCTGTGTGACTGTACCATCTATGGTGGAGTGAATACAGTTCTGTAGAGAGAGCCTTGGCCTGTGTGACTGTACCATCTATGGTGGAGTGAATACAGCTCTGTAGAGAGAGCCTTGGCCTGTGTGACTGTACCATCTATGGTGGAGTGAATACAGCTCTGTAGAGAGAGCCTTGGCCTGTGTGACTGTACCATCTATGGTGGAGTGAATACAGCTCTGTAGAGAGAGCCTTGGCCTGTGTGACTGTACCATCTATGGTGGAGTGAATACAGCTCTGTAGAGAGAGCCTTGGCCTGTGTGACTGTACCATCTATGGTGGAGTGAATACAGTTCTGTAGAGAGCCTTGGCCTGTGTGACTGTACCATCTATGGTGGAGTGAATACAGCTCTGTAGAGAGCCTTGGCCTGTGTGACTGTACCATCTATGGTGGAGTGAATACAGCTCTGTAGAGAGAGCCTTGGCCTGTGTGACTGTACCATCTATGGTGGAGTGAATACAGTTCTGTAGAGAGCCTTGGCCTGTGTGACTGTACCATCTATGGTGGAGTGAATACAGCTCTGTAGAGAGAGCCTTGGCCTGTGTGACTGTACCATCTATGGTGGAGTGAATACAGCTCTGTAGAGAGAGCCTTGGCCTGTGTGACTGTACCATCTATGGTGGAGTGAATACAGCTCTGTAGAGAGAGCCTTGGCCTGTGTGACTGTACCATCTATGGTGGAGTGAATACAGCTCTGTAGAGAGAGCCTTGGCCTGTGTGACTGTACCATCTATGGTGGAGTGAATACAGCTCTGTAGAGAGAGCCTTGGCCTTGGCCTGTGTGACTGTACCATCTATGGTGGAGTGAATACAGCTCTGTAGAGAGAGCCTTGGCCTGTGTGACTGTACCATCTATGGTGGAGTGAATACAGCTCTGTAGAGAGAGCCTTGGCCTGTGTGACTGTACCATCTATGGTGGAGTGAATACAGTTCTGTAGAGAGAGCCCTTGGCCTGTGTGACTGTACCATCTATGGTGGAGTGAATACAGCTCTGTAGAGAGAGCCTTGGCCTGTGTGACTGTACCATCTATGGTGGAGTGAATACAGCTCTATGGTGGAGTGAATACAGCTCTGTAGAGAGAGCCTTGGCCTGTGTGACTGTACCATCTATGGTGGAGTGAATACAGCTCTGTAGAGAGAGCCTTGGCCTGTGTGACTGTACCATCTATGGTGGAGTGAATACAGCTCTGTAGAGAGCCTTGGCCTGTGTGACTGTACCATGACTGTACCATCTATGGTGGAGTGAATACAGCTCTGTAGAGAGAGCCTTGGCCTGTGTGACTGTACCATCTATGGTGGAGTGAATACAGCTCTGTAGAGAGAGCCTTGGCCTGTGTGACTGTACCATCTATGGTGGAGTGAATACAGCTCTGTAGAGAGAGCCTTGGCCTGTGTGACTGTACCATCTATGGTGGAGTGAATACAGCTCTGTAGAGAGAGCCTTGGCCTGTGTGACTGTACCATCTATGGTGGAGTGAATACAGTTCTGTAGAGAGAGCCTTGGCCTGTGTGACTGTACCATCTATGGTGGAGTGAATACAGCTCTGTAGAGAGCCCTTGGCCTGTGTGACTGTACCATCTATGGTGGAGTGAATACAGCTCTGTAGAGAGAGCCTTGGCCTGTGTGACTGTGTACCATCTATGGTGGAGTGAATACAGCTCTGTAGAGAGAGCCTTGGCCTGTGTGACTGTACCATCTATGGTGGAGTGAATACAGCTCTGTAGAGAGAGCCTTGGCCTGTGTGACTGTACCATCTATGGTGGAGTGAATACAGCTCTGTAGAGAGAGCCTTGGCCTGTGTGACTGTACCATCTATGGTGGAGTGAATACAGTTCTGTAGAGAGAGGCCTTGGCCTGTGTGAATACAGACTGTACCATCTATGGTGGAGTGAATACAGCTCTGTAGAGAGAGCCTTGGCCTGTGTGTGTGACTGTACCATCTATGGTGGAGTGAATACAGTTCTGTAGAGAGTTCTTGGCCTGTGTGATGTACTCTATGGTGGAGTGAATACAGCTCTGTAGAGAGAGCCTTGGCCTGTGTCTATGGTGGAGTGAATACAGTTCTGTAGAGAGCCTTGGCCTGTGTGACTGTACCATCTATGGTGGAGTGAATACAGCTCTGTAGAGAGAGCCTTGGCCTGTGTGACTGTACCATCTATGGTGGAGTGAATACAGTTCTGTAGAGAGAGCCTTGGCCTGTGTGACTGTACCATCTATGGTGGAGTGAATACAGCTCTGTAGAGAGAGCCTTGGCCTGTGTGACTGTACCATCTATGGTGGAGTGAATACAGTTCTGTAGAGAGAGCCTTGGCCTGTGTGACTGTACCATCTATGGTGGAGTGAATACAGCTCTGTAGAGAGAGCCTTGGCCTGTGTGACTGTACCATCTATGGTGGAGTGAATACAGCTCTGTAGAGAGAGCCTTGGCCTGTGTGACTGTACCATCTATGGTGGAGTGAATACAGTTCTGTAGAGAGAGCCTTGGCCTGTGTGACTGTACCATCTATGGTGGAGTGAATACAGCTCTGTAGAGAGAGCCTTGGCCTGTGTGACTGTACCATCTATGGTGGAGTGAATACAGTTCTGTAGAGAGAGCCTTGGCCTGTGTGACTGTACCATCTATGGTGGAGTGAATACAGCTCTGTAGAGAGAGCCTTGGCCTGTGTGACTGTACCATCTATGGTGGAGTGAATACAGCTCTGTGTAGAGAGAGCCTTGGCCTGTGTGACTGTACCATCTATGGTGGAGTGAATACAGCTCTGTAGAGAGAGCCTTGGCCTGTGTGACTGTACCATCTATGGTGGAGTGAATACAGCTCTGTAGAGAGAGCCTTGGCCTGTGTGACTGTACCATCTATGGTGGAGTGAATACAGCTCTGTAGAGAGTCCCTTGGCCTGTGTGACTGTACCATCTATGGTGGAGTGAATACAGTTCTGTAGAGAGAGCCTTGGCCTGTGTGACTGTACCATCTATGGTGGAGTGAATACAGCTCTGTAGAGAGAGCCTTGGCCTGTGTGACTGTACCATCTATGGTGGAGTGAATACAGCTCTGTAGAGAGAGCCTTGGCCTGTGTGACTGTACCATCTATGGTGGAGTGAATACAGTTCTGTAGAGAGAGCTGGCCTGTGTGACTGTACATCTATGGTGGAGTGAATACAGTTCTGTGTAGAGAGAGAGCCTTGGCCTGTGTGACTGTACCATCTATGGTGGAGTGAATACAGCTCTGTAGAGAGAGCCTTGGCCTGTGTGACTGTACCATCTATGGTGGAGTGAATACAGCTCTGTAGAGAGAGCCTTGGCCTGTGTGACTGTACCATCTATGGTGGAGTGAATACAGCTCTGTAGAGAGCCTTGGCCTGTGTGACTGTACCATCTATGGTGGAGTGAATACAGCTCCTTGGCCTGTGTGAGTAGAGAGCCTTGGCCTGTGTGACTGTACCATCTATGGTGGAGTGAATACAGTTCTGTAGAGAGAGCCTTGGCCTGTGTGACTGTACCATCTATGGTGGAGTGAATACAGCTCTGTAGAGAGAGCCTTGGCCTGTGTGACTGTACCATCTATGGTGGAGTGAATACAGCTCTGTAGAGAGAGCCTTGGCCTGTGTGACTGTACCATCTATGGTGGAGTGAATACAGTTCTGTAGAGAGAGCCTTGGCCTGTGTGACTGTACCATCTATGGTGGAGTGAATACAGTTCTGTAGAGAGCCTTGGCCTGTGTGACTGTACCATCTATGGTGGAGTGAATACAGCTCTGTAGAGAGAGCCTTGGCCTGTGTGACTGTACCATCTATGGTGGAGTGAATACAGCTCTGTAGAGAGAGCCTTGGCCTGTGTGACTGTACCATCTATGGTGGAGTGAATACAGCCTCTGTAGAGAGCCTTGGCCTGTGTGACTGTACCATCTATGGTGGAGTGAATACAGTTCTGTAGAGAGAGCCTTGGCCTGTGTGACTGTACCATCTATGGTGGAGTGAATACAGCTCTGTAGAGAGAGCCTTGGCCTGTGTGACTGTACCATCTATGGTGGAGTGAATACAGCTCTGTAGAGAGAGCCTTGGCCTGTGTGACTGTACCATCTATGGTGGAGTGAATACAGTTCTGTAGAGAGCCTTGGCCTGTGTGACTGTACCATCTATGGTGGAGTGAATACAGCTCTGTAGAGAGAGCCCTTGGCCTGTGTGACTGACTGTACCATCTATGGTGGAGTGAATACAGCTCTGTAGAGAGAGCCTTGGCCTGTGTGACTGTACCATCTATGGTGGAGTGAATACAGCTCTGTAGAGAGCCTTGGCCTGTGTGACTGTACCATCTATGGTGGAGTGAATACAGTTCTGTAGAGAGCCTTGGCCTGTGTGACTGTACCATCTATGGTGGAGTGAATACAGCTCTGTAGAGAGAGCCTTGGCCTGTGTGACTGTACCATCTATGGTGGAGTGAATACAGCTCTGTAGAGAGAGCCTTGGCCTGTGTGACTGTACCATCTATGGTGGAGTGAATACAGCTCTGTAGAGAGAGCCTTGGCCTGTGTGACTGTACCATCTATGGTGGAGTGAATACAGCTCTGTAGAGAGAGCCTTGGCCTGTGTGACTGTACCATCTATGGTGGAGTGAATACAGTTCTGTAGAGAGCCATGGCCTGGCTGTGAGACTGTACCCTCTGGCCTGTGTGACTGTACCTTGGCATCTCTATGGTGGAGTGAATACAGTTCTGTAGAGAGCCTTGGCCTGTGTGACTGTACCATCTATGGTGGAGTGAATACAGCTCTGTAGAGAGAGCCTTGGCCTGTGTGACTGTACCATCTATGGTGGAGTGAATACAGCTCTGTAGAGAGAGCCTTGGCCTGTGTGACTGTACCATCTATGGTGGAGTGAATACAGTTCTGTAGAGAGAATACAGCTCTGTAGGCCTGTGTGACTGTACCATCTATGGTGGAGTGAATACAGCTCTGTAGAGAGAGCCTTGGCCTGTGTGACTGTACCATCTATGGTGGAGTGAATACAGCTCTGTAGAGAGAGCCTTGGCCTGTGTGACTGTACTATGGTGGAGTGAATACAGCTCTGTAGAGAGAGCCTTGGCCTGTGTGACTGTACCATCTATGGTGGAGTGAATACAGCTCTGTAGAGAGAGCCTTGGCCTGTGTGACTGTACCATCTATGGTGGAGTGAATACAGTTCTGTAGAGAGAGCCTTGGCCTGTGTGACTGTACCATCTATGGTGGAGTGAATACAGCTCTGTAGAGAGAGCCTTGGCCTGTGTGACTGTACCATCTATGGTGGAGTGAATACAGTTCTGTAGAGAGCCTTGGCCTGTGTGACTGTACCATCTATGGTGGAGTGAATACAGCTCTGTAGAGAGCCTTGGCCTGTGTGACTGTACCATCTATGGTGGAGTGAATACAGTTCTGTAGAGAGCCTTGGCCTGTGTGACTGTACCATCTATGGTGGAGTGAATACAGCTCTGTAGAGAGCCTTGGCCTGTGTGACTGTACCATCTATGGTGGAGTGAATACAGCTCTGTAGAGAGAGCCTTGGCCTGTGTGACTGTACCATCTATGGTGGAGTGAATACAGCTCTGTAGAGAGAGCCTTGGCCTGTGTGACTGTACCATCTATGGTGGAGTGAATACAGCTCTGTAGAGAGAGCTTGGCCTGTGTGACTGTACCATCTATGGTGGAGTGAATACAGCTCTGTAGAGAGAGCCTTGGCCTGTGTGACTGTACCATCTATGGTGGAGTGAATACAGCTCTGTAGAGAGAGCCTTGGCCTGTGTGACTGTACCATCTATGGTGGAGTGAATACAGCTCTGTAGAGAGAGCCTTGGCCTGTGTGACTGTACCATCTATGGTGGAGTGAATACAGCTCTGTAGAGAGAGCCTTGGCCTGTGTGACTGTACCATCTATGGTGGAGTGAATACAGCTCTGTAGAGAGAGCCTTGGCCTGTGTGACTGTACCATCTATGGTGGAGTGAATACAGTTCTGTAGAGAGAGCCTTGGCCTGTGTGACTGTACCATCTATGGTGGAGTGAATACAGCTCTGTAGAGAGAGCCTTGGCCTGTGTGACTGTACCATCTATGGTGGAGTGAATACAGCTCTGTAGAGAGTGAATACAGCTCTGTAGAGAGCCTTGGCCTGTGTGACTGTACCATCTATGGTGGAGTGAATACAGCTCTGTAGAGAGAGCCTTGGCCTGTGTGACTGTACCATCTATGGTGGAGTGAATACAGCTCTGTAGAGAGAGCTTTGATTTCATAGCAAGCATTTTCTGTAACATTCTCCTTTCAAATTTCAGTCAGTACATGTTTTTCACACAAGAAAACAAAATAATATCACAATACTGTCTCCTTGACAGATCCAATCTTGCATTGGTAAACCATCACTTTCACCATCTTGTAACAGATCCAATCTTGCATTGGTAAACCATCACTTTCACCATCTTGTAACAGATCCAATCTTGCATTGGTAAACCATCACTTTCACCATCTTGTAACAGATCCAATCTAGCATTGGTAAACCATCACTTTCACCATCTTGTAACAGATCCAGTCTTGCATTGGTAAACCATCACTTTCACCATCTTGTAACAGATCCAATCTTAATGACATTGCATTGGTATCAATCCTGTCCTGTTCTGAAAACAACCTTCTGTAACATAACCTCCTGATACCGTGTATCTAAATTCACTTGTAAGTATTCAGGGACCTGACATTGGTCTTATCAGTGCAGTATTATGCAGTATTGATTCCCATACAGTAAATTAACGCCTGATCTATCCAAGTTTTTCAATATTGGTACAAATGTCCAAATTGAGCTACAGTACCTTCCACCATCTGATGGCAACTGCTCTGTATATCCCACCTGCAGCTGATGCAGACCTCACAGCTGTACAGCTTCATACACACACACGCACATGCACACACATGCACACACACACACACAAACATCTGTAAAGCATATTGAATGGCTCACTACTGACTGACTACACAACAGGAGATACAGAGATATTTCAAACTGTGTCCTTTCATGGTGACCACATCAACTGTTAATTTTTGTTTAATAAACTTGAAATAATAGAGCTGCATATCCTCTAGTTCCATGGCAATATTGAATACTATCTGTGTGACAACATATCACAAGTTCAGCACATATTACATTTGAAATAAATACTTCATAACTGGTTATAAAAATATGGGCGAATTATGCAATATCCAACCTTACATGATAAACATGCAGTTGAATACTGCCTGTGACTGTAGATTCATTGCAATATTCGAAACCGTTTTCCATATAATTGCACACAAGATCATTTAGAAAGTGTCACATGTGACATATGTTATAACTGGGATTACAGTTTCTCAGTAAAATACGGGGTTTGAGTCCCACCCTGAGATTTGAACGCACACTCTCATTAGAAACATGGGAAACAGTTAATCATCAATTCAGGGAAACCTCTCCTGGACATACAGCCATACAGGTTCTTATTTAGACATACCTGTTATGGATTGAAAACATTGATTACCAGAAGGTACCATGCTAGAACTACCATGTCCATAGTGGGTGTAAATCATAGAATTACCATGTCCATAGTGGGTGTAAATCATAGAATTACCATGTCCATAGTGGGTGTAAATCATAGAACTACCATGTACCTCAGTGGGTGTAAATCATAGAACTACCATGTACTTCAGTGGGTGTAAATCATAGAATTACCATGTACCTCAGTGGGTGTAAATCATAGAACTACCATGTACCACAGTGGGTGTAAATCTTTTTCCTCGTTAGTAATCTTCAAATTTGTACATTCATATGTATTATATCAAAATACTGGCTGATAGTTTAGCAGTATTATTTAAACTGTACCAATCTATTTCTTGTTCAATCGACAACCCTGTCCTAAATTTTGTGGAAATAATTTGAAAAGGAAATATGCATATATGTTTCTATATCTAATACCCTCAGTTAAGACATCTTCAGGCAGTTACCCTGACTTCTTGTCAGATCATATGTGGACCAAGAATGGCAGTGAGTGAGTATTGCTTTACACCACTTTGAACAATAGTCTGGCAATATCATAGAGGGGGTCACAAGAAATGGGATTCACACATTGTATCCATGTGGGAATTAAACCCAGGTCTTTGGTTCGACAAACGAACACTTTAACCACTAGGCTACCTCACTGCCCCACAAGAACATCAGTTGAACTATTCAAGACAGAATATTACATTATCACAGAGAGATACATTTGTGTAACATGATGGTTCCATGATACACCTATAGAGCCAGTCATCTGCCATGTTGCTCCTGTCAGAGACACGGGAACACCTGCACTCGGGAATACATACTAAATGACTTAAGCTCCAGCCACAAAAATCCAAAATTATTGTCATCAAATATTATGAAGTGACCTGAGGACATGGATGGGTTGGTGAAGCCGTGGCCAGCAATCTGACCTTGTCCGTGGAATCTGAAAACACATTCAAATCTCATGTTCAGGATGCATATACAAAGAAGTGTAAATTTTTAATTAGGATAGAAAATAAGAGTTGCTCCAACTTGGGATAACAAGAACTGTTATCATCACTTAAAAATGATAATAATGGCCTTATCTTGCTCTACACACACAGAGGAATATCCTCACCTTGCTCTACACACACAGAGGAATATCCTCACCTTGCTCTACACACACAGAGGAATATCCTAACCTTGCTCTACACACACAGAGGAATATCCTCACCTTGCTCTACACACACAGAGGAATATCCTCACCTTGCTCTACACACACAGGAATATCCTCACCTTGCTCTACACACACAGGAATATCCTCACCTTGCTCTACACACACAGAGGAATATCCTCACCTTGCTCTACACACACAGAGAAATATCCTCACCTTGCTCTACACACAGAGGAATATCCTCACCTTGCTCTACACACACACAGGAATATCCTCACCTTGCTCTACACACACAGAGGAATATCCTCACCTTGCTCTACACATAGTGGGTGGGTGACTAAATCTCTCATAGCAGTCGTCAGGAACGTGGAAGGGCTGTGGTGGCAGATGCTGTAGGTCGATGTCAGGAGGCAGTTCGGGGATGTCAATCTCTTCCATCAACTCTACAGTCTTCTGCTGGCCCATGGTGAGGATCATCGGGTGGTCCAGATCGATGTATAAACTGACCTTGTTGGCCGGCACATTTGGGTCACCCTGGAGGAAGTGGAGAGCATAGCATGCTGTAGATTTAGAAAACAACCCCTGAGTTATAAGTAATAATCTGTCCTCAGTAAAATGTTTTTGTAACAGCTGGGCCTTGACCAATAAAACATCACCTTGAATTGTTACGACAATGCGTTAAAATGGCCCACTTCGTATCCGTTAAAACAGCAGGACAACAGGTGAAATTAGCCAAGATTTGTGAGCACAAACATTGTACATTCTACCTTAACAAAACACTAGCATGAAGATAAACTAAAATCATCTAAAGTACCTACATTTTGATGAACTGTTCCTTAATTTATGTTATTTTGCCGTGAATCCTTGAGTGAGTGAGTGAGTGAGTTTAGTTTTACACCGCTTATAGCAATATTCCAGCAATATCACAGCGGGGAGACACCAGAAATGGCTTCACACATTACACCCATGTATGGAATAGAACCCGGGTCTTCGGCATGACAAGCAAATGTTTTACCACCAGGCTACCCCAGGTTCCTTGAATCATCACCGTGCCAAGATAGTTCCAGCAGCTAGTTTTCATTACCTGTCCATGGTGGTACCATAATTCCTCCTCATGCTGCACATGTTTCCTGACTTACATAATGTACAGTCACAACTTTGTATGACATGGAGGATGTATGACTGTTCACTGTAAGTTTATTTGAGGCAATTTGCAGGGGCTCTCATGAAAATATATGGTGTCCTAGCTGCAGTGAGGTGTGATTTAGAGTTACCTCCCTTGCTTGTAAACAAACATGTCATTCGTTGGTTTCACATTAATTTTAGACTCGCTGTGCGCATGCGTAGAGCGTGTAAAAATATCCTCAGGCCAATTCCGGTTTGGTCGTAAGCTTTACCGATAGTGTAAACGCACTCTAAAGAAAGCAAAAATCAAAACAAATATATGGTTGTATGTCGAATTTAACTAATCCCAATTCATTTATGAATGGAAGGGACCGGAATCAGTTAAATAAATAGCTTAACGTTTGTTAACAAGCTCTTGTATAAACACATCTCACCACCACCCGTCCACCGTCCTTCCTGCACATCCCCTTCTCACAAGTAAAAAAACACATCTCTGATGCAATGCCACCAAAATAGGACATCAATTATTGAAAAGCATAGGCAAATGGATGTATGTACTCAACTATGAACAATGGTCACGCGTAAATAATTTTTATACAGCATTTATTTAGAGCGTGTTTACAATATCGCTAATACGACCAAACCGGAATTGACCAGTGGATATTTTTACACGCTCTACGCATGCGCACAGCGTGCGCACAGCGAGTCGAAAATTAATGTGAAACCAAAGAATACTTGATCACTTGAGAAGTATCATGATGTGACAGTCTCTCAGGGGATGGCTGTCTAAACCACAGCAACACCCCTTGAAGCATTAATTAAATAAAATGTTCATCTAAAATGCCTAACATTGGTGACAAATTAAATATATTATTTTTGAGAGTGTCAAAATCATGTAGAATGGTGTCAGTGGGTGGAGAACTGAAATGTCCTGGTGTTATAATAACTGACTAATGATGATACTCACCGTTATTTTCTTTCCTTCAGCTTTGTTCTCCGTGTCACTGTAGGACAGCTGTATAATCTCGATGCCGTGGCCACCATAGTTGCCCTTGAAGAGTCCCGGCTGGATGACAGCTCCTGGCTTTCTTGGCTGCTCCATCACCCGCATCATTGGGTAGGAGCATCTGTAGAAGGGGAGACAATCAGCGCTGTACCAGGACGTGAGTGACTGAGGTACTAAGTCCGCTTCAGGTGTCAGTATGGGAGTATCCAATGCTAACAGTATCTAGCAGCATGGGGTAAATCTACAGTGTTTTAGCTATTCTCAGTTTTCAACCAAAACTGATTTCGTTTGGTGTAAAGGCAAAATAGCAAACTATATGAACTGACCGATGCAAATCTGTGATGAGTCTAGGGTTCATGAAAAACGAAACTTATTGGTTTTTACTTAAATGTCATTCTACTAATTTTCCATTTCCAATCCCAAAAACATTTAAGGTAGATTACAATGTAAAAGTTCTCATTAAATAGCAAGTTTCATGTATTTTTAACAAAAGAATAAAATCCTAATGACTTCTACAACATATTAATCATAAGTAGAAGTGCCCCTGCTCTGGTCCCTCAGCCTGGCAGGTTTATAGATACTGACAGCCTAAATTGTAGTTTAAGCAAAGTCAAGGATGATTGGAGCAAATGAAGGTCCCAGTTTATGAGGTATTACTTCTGAGTGAGTGAGTGAGTTGTGTTTTATGCCGTTTTTAGCAATATTCCAGCAATATCACGGCAGGGGACACCTGAAATGGGCTTCACACATTGCATCCATGTGGGGAATCATATCCAGGTCTTCGGCGTGACGAGCAAACACTTTAACAACTAGGCTACCCCACTGCCCCGATATTGCTTCTGATTATTCAGTGGCAATACAGACGCTACACTAGTGTTGACTCACCCAAGCTGTGTCGTGACAAGAAACTTCATAAGCAGCAACTCCTGGCCATGGACAAAGAACTCACTTGGAGGTCGACCCGTCTCCTGTGTCAGCCAATCCTCGAACTCCTGCATTGATATGGATGAGCTGCCAGTCAATACTCAGTGTTGGAGAAACCAGGGGGGGCAGGGATGCCAAACAATTATATTTCTCTGAATCTCCAACATTGACAAATGGGATGTAATCCGATATATGCTTGGGAGTAAATCCTCTTTTTAAACTGTTTTTAATAGGAATTCTGACAAACTTTTAAATATGTTTTAAACCCTATCGTATTGCCGAATTCAAAACGCCTTTCAGGGCAGACTACTTTCTTTGTGTGTTGATTTGATCTTGTTCTGGCTGATGAGGCCATGAGTCCCACATCCTTCTCATCCCTCCCTACAGCATCCAGAGGCCACGAGTCCCACATCCTTCTCATCCCTCCCTACAGCATCCAGAGGCCACGAGTCCCACATCCTTCTCATCCCTCCCTACAGCATCCAGGGGCCACGAGTCCCACATCCTTCTCATCCCTCCCTACAGCATCCAGGGGCCACCATCCAACATCCTTCTCATCCCTACCTACAGCATCCAGGGGCCACGAGTACAGCATCCAGAGGACACCATCCCACATCCTTCTCATCCCTCCCTACAGCATCCAGGGGCCATGAGTCCTAGATCCTTCTCATCCCTACCTACAGCATCCAGGGGCTACCATCCCACATCCTTTCTCATCCCTCCCTACAGCATACAGGGACCACCATCCCACATCCTTTTCATCCTCCCCTACAGCATCCAGGGGCCATGAGTCCTACATCCTTTCTCATCCTACTCTACAGCATCCAGGGGCACCATCCCACATCCTTCTCATCCTCCCTACAGCATCAAGGGGCCACCATCCCACATCCTTCTCTCATCCCTCCCTACAGCATCCAGGGGCCACCTTCATTCCACACCCTTCTCATCCTCCTCCCTACAGTATCCAGGGGCCACCATCCCACATCCTTCTCTCATCCCTCCCTACAGCATCCAGGGGCCACCATCCCACATCCTTTTCTCATCCCTCCCTACAGCATCCAGGGGCCACCATCCCACATCCTTCTCTATCCCTACCTACACCATCCATAGGCCACTTAGTCCCACATCCTTTCTCATCCCTCCTACACCATCCAGGGACCACCATCCCACATCCTTCTCTCATCCCTCCCTACAGCATCCAGGGGCCACCATCCCACATCCTTCTCATCCCTCCCTACAGCATCCAGGGGCCACCATCCCACATCCTTCTCATCCCTCCCTACAGCATCCAGGGGCCACCATCCTACATCCTTCTCTCTATCCTCCCTACAGCATCCAGGGGCCACCATCCCACATCCTTCTCATCCCTCCCTACAGCATCCAGGGGCCACCATCCCACATCCTTCTCATCCCTCCCTACAGCATCCAGGGGCCACCATCCCACATCCTTCTCATCCCTCCCTACAGCATCCAGGGGCCACCATCCCACATCCTTCTCTATCCCTCCCTACAGCATCCAGGGGCTACCATCCCACATCCTTTCTCATCCCTCCTACAGCATCCAGGGGCCATGAGTCCTAGATCCTTCTCATCCCTACCTACAGCATCCAGGGGCCACGAGTACAGCATCCAGAGGACACCATCCCACATCCTTCTCATCCCTCCCTACAGCATCCAGGGGCCATGAGTCCTAGATCCTTCTCATCCCTACCTACAGCATCCAGGGGCCACCATCCCACATCCTTCTCATCCCTCCCTACAGCATACAGGGACCACCATCCCACATCCTTTTCATCCCTCCCTACAGCATCCAGGGGCCATGAGTCCTACATCCTTCTCATCCCTACCTACAGCATCCAGGGGCCACCATCCCACATCCTTCTCATCCCTCCCTACAGCATCAAGGGGCCACCATCCCACATCCTTCTCATCCCTCCCTACAGCATCCAGGGGCCACCATTCCACACCCTTCTCATCCCTCCCTACAGTATCCAGGGGCCACCATCCCACATCCTTTCTATCCTCCCTACAGCATCCAGGGGCCACTCATCCCACATCCTTCTCTATCCCTCCCTACAGCATCCAGGGGCTACCATCCCACATCCTTCTCATCCCTCCCTACACCATCCATAGGCCACGAGTCCCACATCCTTCTCATCCCTCCCTACACCATCCAAGGACCACCATCCCACATCCTTCTCATCCCTCCCTACAGCATCCAGGGGCCACCATCCCACATCCTTCTCATCCCTCCCTACAGCATCCAGGGGCCACCATCCCACATCCTTCTCTATCCTCCCTACAGCATCCAGGGGCCACCATCCTACATCCTTTCTCATCCCTCCCTTACAGCATCCAGGGGCCACCATCCCACATCCTTCTCATCCCTCCCTACAGCATCCAGGGACCACCATCCCACATCCTTCTCTCCCTCCCTACAGCATCCAGGGGCCACCATCCCACATCCTTCTCATCCCTCCCTACAGCATCCAGGGGCCACCATCCCACATCCTTCTCATCCCTCCCTACAGCATCCAGGGGCCACCATCCCACATCCTTCTCATCCCTCCCTACAGCATCCAGGGGCCATGAGTCCTAGATCCTCCTTCTCATCCCTACCTACAGCATCCAGAGGGACACCATCCCACATCCTTCTCTCATCCCTCCCTACAGCATCCAGGGGCCACCATCCCACATCCTTCTCATCATCGCTCCCTACAGCATCCAGGGGCCACCATCCCACATCCTTCTCATCCCTCCCTACAGCATACAGAGGCCACCATCCTACATCCTTCTCATCCCTCCCTACAGCATCCAGGGGCCACCATCCCACATCCTTCTCATCCCTCCCTACAGCATCCAGGGGCCACCATCCCACATCCTTCTCATCCCTCCTTACAGCATCCAGGGGCCACCATCCCACATCCTTCTCATCCCTCCCTACAGCATCAAGGGGCCACCATCCAACATACTTCTCATTCCTACCTACAGCATCCAGGGGCCACCATCCCACATCCTTCTCATCCCTCCTTACAGCATCCAGGGGCCATGAGTCCTAGATCCTTCTCATCCCTACCTACAGCATCCAGGGGCCACCATCCCACATCCTTCTCATCCCTCCCTACAGCATCCAGGGGCCACCATCCCACATCCTTCTCATCTCCCTACAGCATCCAGGGGACACCATCCCACATCCTTCTCATCCCTCCCTACAGCATCCAGGGGCCACCATCCTACATCCTTCTCATCCCTCCCTACACCATCCAGGGGCCACCATCCTACATCCTTCTCATCCCTCCCTACAGCATCCAGGGGCCACCATCCTACATCCTTCTCATCCCTCCCTACAGCATCCAGGGGCCACCATCCCACATCCTTCTCATCCCTCCCTACAGCATCCAGAGGCCACGAGTCCCACATCCTTCTCATCCCTCCCTACAGCATCCAGGGCCATGAGTCCCACATCCTTCCACTGGACACTGAACAAACAGGTCGTCACATCAGCTCATGTGACTCTCTGTCAGATGTAACTGAAGACTTTCAGGATGGAACTAGGACACTTTACCTTCTGTTTCCCCTCCGGGTGCTGGTGGTTGTTGTTTTCAGAACATTCAAACATCAGGAGCTGCCCATCTTCTCCCTACAACAAACTTAACATTGTATCTATCACAACACAGAAAGGTGAGATGCCAGTTTTATGTTTCAGTAGTGGAGAAGATGGTCAACACATTATGTATAGTTCACAGATTGTTTGCTAAGTTTTCATTTGGCAAGATTGGTAGAAAGATGATGATGATGATGATGATGATGATGATGATGATGATGATGATGATGATGATGATGATGATGATGATGATGATGGTGGTGATGGTGGTGGTGATAGTTCAGTTTACCATAATCGCAGAGAACTACATATTATCACAATAAACCAAATTGCAAACATAGTGAACCACAGTGTATCACAGTGAATGGCCATAATTACAGAGACTAATGATGAATTATAATGAGTGAATATACAGTGAAATACATGAATAATGAACAAGAGACAAGCATGGTGAATCGCAGTAACCAACATAATGGATCACAGAGAACCACAATGAATCATACTGGATCACAGACAACCACAATGAATTTAGTGGATCACAGACAACCACAATGAATTATAATGGATCACAGACAACCACAATGAATCATACTGGATCACAGACAACCACAATGAATCATACTGGATCACAGACAACCACAATGAATCTAGTGGATCACAGACAACCACAATGAATTATAATGGATCACAGACAACCACAACGAATCATACTGGATCACAGACAACCACAATGAATCATACGGGATCACAGACAACCACAATGAATCTAATGGATCACAGACAACCACAATGAATTATAATGGATCACAGAGAACCACAATGAATCATAATGGATCACAGACAACCATAATGAATCATACTGGATCACAGACAACCACAATGAATCATACTGGATCACAGACAACCATAATGAATCATAATGGATCACAGACAACCACAATGAATCATAATGGATCACAGACAACCATAATGAATCATAATGGATCACAGACAACCACAATGAATCATAATGGATCACAAACAACCACAATGAATCATGATGGATCACAAACAACCACAATGAACCATGATGGATCACGGACAACCACAATGAATCATAATGGATCACAGACAACCACAATGAATCCAATTGATCACAGACAACCACAATGAATCATAATGGATCACAAACAACCACAATGAATCATAATGGATCACAAACAACCACAATGAACCATGATGGATCACAGACAACCACAATGAACCATGATGGATCACAGACAACCACAATGAACCAAACAGAACCACAACAGACTACCAAGAACCATAATGGATCACAGTGAATGACTATGAATCACAGTCAATTACAGGAAACAATGAATTACAGCAAATCATGAACCAAAATAAATCACAACAGTGGTGGAAATAACCAATTGCCCGACGCCCGAGTCCAGTGTTTTTTTCTGTCGGGCAAGCAAATTTGTATATCACACTGTACCGGTGTCCAGTTGATATTCCATTGTTAATAATGTTGTTTATTTAAAAAATCAACAACAAAACGGCCGGTATAGTGGAAAAATTATCAGGGCAAGTGATTTTACATGTGCCACTGTACCGGAGTACACTAGCAATTTTAAAGTTATTTCCACCCCTGCACAATGAACCACTGACTGAGAGAATCCTGACTGCCCTCCTCTAGGTAGTCACAGTACTTCCAGTACAACAGTACATCCTTTCATTAAATGTCTCCACAGTATTAGTCCAGACACCAGACTTACGGCCAGCTACTGCTTTGTACACATTCACATCTATTACGGGACAGAACTCTGTTGACATATTCCTGGACTGTCGTAAGTATTGACTTATCCTATAGTATTAAGAGTAAGTCTTCAAAGATGCAGGTTCACCTCTTACCCATGACAGCTGGCCTTTGTGAAGGCCATTAAAACCTTTCAGACAGAACACCTCCACCTTTGACAGATCCTCGGCCAAGTGTATGGAGAACAGGGGCCGTATCCGCAGTGGCTGGTCGACATGAGGGTCCACTGGTGGGAGGCATTCTCTGCCTTTGATACATCCCCTGTCAAACTAGGAGTAGAAAATCAACTGTATAGTACTTGTCTGGGGCCACCATCTTGAAATAGTCCAGTATAGGATGTAACACGACTTATCATGCTTATAGGGACAATAAATGTGCATGTTGTGGATTCAAATACAATTATATATTGTCTCTTATTGTTTTAATCATAAACGAACATGTAGTCCCAGAAATAGCGTACAATCAACACTACCTTAATGTCAATAAGTCAACTCTACCTGTGTATTTTAAACAAACAGCCATAATGTCAATAAGTCAACTCTACCTGTATTTTAAACAACCTACCTTAATGTCAATTAGTCAACTCTACCTGTATTTTAAACAACCTACCTTAATGTCAATTAGTCAACTCTATCTGTATTTTAAACAACCTACCTTAATGTCAATTAGTCAACTCTACCTGTATTTTAAACCTACCTTAATGTCAATTAGTCAACTCTACCTGTATTTTAAACAACCTACCTTAATGTCAATTAGTCAACTCTACCTGTATTTTAAACAACATACTTTAATGTCAATTAGTCAACTCTACCAGTATTTTAAACAACCTACCTTAATGTCAATTAGTCAGCTCTACCTGTATTTTAAACAACCTACCTTAATGTCAATTAGTCAACTCTACCTGTATTTTAAACAACCTACCTTAATGTCAATTAGTCAACTCTACCTGTATTTTAAACAACCTACCTTAATGTCAATTAGTCAACTCTACCTGTATTTTAAACAACCTACCTTAATGTCAATTAATCCTCCATAATGTCCTATTTCTGGCTGCCACTTTCCGATGCAGTTACCAAACTTACACAGCACTGAAACATAAAGACAGTTACCATGGTAACAATATCATGCAGTGTATGCCAGAAACATGAGCTAACGAAGATTTTGCTTTTGTTTTATTTTAATGTCTCACTCAGCAATATTTCAGCTGCATGAAGGTTGCCTGTTAATATTCAAATCTCGTCTAGACTGCGCAAAGTGAGTTAGTGAGTGAGTTTTAGTTTTACGCTGCTTTTAGCAATATTCCATCAATATTTTACCTGTGTGGGGAATCGTACCCTGGGTCACTGGCGTGATGAGTGAATGCTTTAACCACTAGGATACCCCAGCGCCCCGACTGGGCAAAGACTTGCCCTGGTTATCGACCATGAACAAACATGAACATCATCCATTTCTGAACAGCACTGGTTCTCTTTCTCCATCTTCCTGATACATGACACATCATTTTCTCTGAAGTCATCAATAGGTAGTAACATCATAGAGACTGACTGACTGACTGAGTTTGGTTTTATGCCGCTTTTAGCAATATTCCAGCAACATCACGGCGGGGGACACCAGAAATGGGCTTCACACATTGTACCCATGTGGGGATTTGAACCCGGGTCTTCGGCGTGACGAGCCAACGCTTTAACCACTAGGCTACCCCACCTCCCCACACCATAGAGAGATGGCAAGAATTCCAAAATACCTGCACAAGAAACTGGGGAACAATTGTTCTTTAGTTAAAAACTTTTTATTAATTTAGAGGTATTTCAAAATTTATTTAATGGAGCTATGTAACATGAAGCAATAAAAGGGCACATGAGCAAATTCTATATTGTTTCACAACATAATGTGCTTGTTCTTGAAAGGCATGAATACATGACACATTTTATGGATGAAAACTTCTTTTCATTCTTCATCATAACTTTTCAGAACTAATTCCTGCTCCTTCATCATGCACCTGATGATGGAGCATGAATTAGCTCTGAAACATTGTGAAAAAAGAAACGAAAGAAGTTGTTCGTCCACAAAACGTGTCATGTATTCATAAAGTACTAGCCGGGCAGACAGTGGTACACAGGAATCTCAGTGAATCTCAGTGACTCTTAGTGCCAAACCTGCTGTGACTGACTAACAGCTATGACCTTGACTATCCCTTAATTGTGTTCCTCATTACCAGGACTACTAATTGAACTTCCCCTCTTATGGTCTGGGTTACTATTGGAATACTCCCTTACAAACTAGGACTTTAGAAATTTTAACTGGCAGACTTGGGGTCCAGCATTGACCAATCTGCAGGTGTAGACAGATACCTGCATTAACCAGACACTCTGTGGGGCAATCTGACAGCCTCCAGGGAGCACACTTAAACACAGACAAAACTCCTGGGCTCATTAAGACATTCAGATAGTACTTGATACTTGACAGCTTGAAGTTTATGAACTCTGACAAATAATCAACACTACTTACACACAAATGGAGTGGGTGACTGAGTTTGGTTTAACACCTCTTTTAGCAATATTCCAGCAATATCACGGCGGCGGACACCAGAAATGGGCTTCACACATTGTGCCCATGTGGGGAATTGAACCTGGGTCTTCAGCGTGACGAGCGAAAGCCTTAACCACTAGGCTTAGACATAAGGCATAGGCAAAATTATATAGATATTACATTACAGAAACAAACCATTTAATAACAATTATTTTTTCCAGTGTTTTGTTTCTAACTTGTCAAGGGACATGCATCTTCAGTAGCCTGTATATCCTCAATTATTAAGCATATTAGATATTAATTATTTTCTATTATGATAAATTACAAGGACCCATTTGCCAGCAAATCTGTGTGATTCCTATAATGCAAGCAGTTGTTACAACGAACCCATGCGATAGAACACAGAGATACTCGAATATAACCAAGATGTAGTGTTTGAAAGGCATTTAGAAGTTGGCATTCACCTGAAAGGCATTCACCTGATGAAGGAGCAAGAACTAGCTCTGAAACATCGTGTAAAGAATAAAACAGAAGCTGTTAACCATAAACCGTGTCATGTATTCAACCAAGATGTAGTAGTGAATTATTCCATAGATATTTTCAGTTGTTTTATGTATTCCCTCAAAAGTTAACATTACTCACACTTATTCTTTTATCCAACTTACCCTTCGTGTAAAACTCCTTATATGTGAGATTCCATCCTTCCACTCCATCATACTTATAATCTGAAGAAGAATGCAAAAGTTTTTGACTTTGTATTCTGATGTTTTCAGTTCTGTTCAATGCAGATAGTTTCTAGGTTCAATGTACTAGCACTGATAGAAATGCAATTCTTTTTAAGGGTGCCAATAGAGCACCAGACAGAGTGCCTCTGTGAAAGTAAGAGTGCCCATACCTCTGATGATTCAACAATCAATTCATTCTTAAATAATTCAATGAACATCATGTCAACCTATTACCCGGGGTAACTTGAGAGCTGGATTTCCTGAACACTATCAAGACTGGAAGAATAGTTCAGCTTCATTTGCAGTGGACCCAGAAACTAACACATAAACTATGTTATCATCCAAAATGGGAATTCTTTTCATGCATACTGGCATTCAATATAGCCAAGCCCATGATAAAGAGTGATAGAGAGTGTCAGAGATAAACTGACTGACTGACTGAGTTTGGTTTTACGCCGCTTTTAGCAATATTCCAGCAACATCATGGCGGGGGACACCAGAAATGGGCTTCACACATTGTGCCCATGTGGGGATTCGAACCCGGGTCTTCGGCGTGACGAGCCAACGCTTTAACCATTAGGCTACCCTACCGCCCCTCAGAGATAAACAGTTGGATGGGGTGCAAAATAGGTTTTGAATCTTTTGAATGGGTCAAATATATTGCATTTTCCATTAAATGCATCATGTTGTGTATAAATATTATGATTTAAGCCATGCCGCCAGGGCACAATGAAAATATTTCATCCATGTCATTTCAATATTTATCGTGCCTTGGCACAGAGATTAAGATCCCTGATGAGAGTTTTGTAGTCCCTCTGATTTCACCACGTAAGCTTCCGAACAGATACTTGTTTCTGGTTTCACAAACTGGCATACTATACTGGCATACTATACTGGTATACTGTACTGGTATACTGTACTGGCATACTGTACTGGCATACTATACTGGTATACTTTACTGGTATACTGTACTGGCATACTGTACTGGCATACTATACTGGTATACTGTACTGGTATACTATACTGGTATACTGTACTGGTATACTGTACTGGTATACTATACTGGTATACTATACTGGTATACTATAAGTTAAAGATCGGAAAACCAAATACACAATTCAATAACAATTCTGGACCCCCTCCGTGGTGTAGTGGTTAGAGCCTCCGCCTGGAGAGCGGAAGGTCGCTGGGTTGGATCCCCGACCGCGTCATACCAAAAGATGTTAAAATATGATACTTGTTGGTCCCTGCCTGGCACTCAGCATTAATGGGTACAACAAGGACTGGTCCTCTCGGAGTCAGTATAATGTGTCTGAGTGGGGTATTCATGGTTCACTGCGGCATGGTACCTCAGTGGGCTAGCACTATAAAACCAGCTTCAGTCTGGGCTAGTACAAGCAGCCGCACATACACATACACACGCATGCACATCGTCATATGAGCAAAATATTCTCAAGCACGACGTTAAACCCAATTTCACGTCACCTCAATAACAGTTCTCATACAATATTATTCATAGTTAAAGACACTTTTCATTATGTGTTCCATTAATGCCTGCATCCTCATGCAGTTGGATGGAAACCCACATCGCTATTCTAAACCTTCGTGTGTCACGTCCATGTGCTGTGTGTTACTTAGAGCATCACAACTGCCATTCCTGTCTTATTTCACTAATATTGGAAAGGCAGCTCAACTCACTCACTCACTCAGTGTGGTGAGACCATAGCCAGCAGCATGCCATAGCTGTTTGAAGATCGGACAGTCAAGACCAGATCAGTCTCAAACTGGATCAAGCCCTGACTGGCGGACTTACCCACACGTCTTCCAACCATAATCAGACATGAAGATACCTACCCTAATGGGAGCATCAATCCACACCCACTTGTAACAAAAAGCACGAGCATCAACGCCTTATCACTATAAGGTATTATCACTATCTATAAAACCCAAATATATATTGTCATTGCCATCGTCTTAGCAGTATATAAAATTCCACAGTATACATTGTCAATTCGTACTCCACAGTCCACTAGATGTTAGTTTGTTGCGTGGCATTGCTGGGAAGACCCCGTGTCAGTCAATACATCACGACTTCAGACTTGTCACACAACTGAAAGTGGCGGGGAACTGTATTATACCGCTAACACAGTCAAGGGCTGACAGACAGCAAGCGTTGTCACTGTGAGGGTTATGTAACCTACTCACAGTCAGACAACAGAACTCACCTTGCACACATCGATGTTGCCATAACGCCTCTAAATTAACCAGATCTCTACATTGTTTACTGACAAGGGCAAAAGTGGCGAGATCTGACGATGACAGAAATCTAAGTACATGAGCTACTAGCTCAGGTGGCAGTTGTAAAATATTGAGTGTCATACTCCAGCTGATTTGTTTACATGATCACTTCCGGGACACAAGAACGTGGAATTGACTCCGTACAGCGACGTAATTACGAAGCAGTGCTTGAAGTGTAAGCTCCACCGCAGCGTGCTAATAAATAATCTTCGTTTTCTTCAGTTAAATATTGTTTCTGCAATGAGTTCACTGACAGTTGCTCTCATAAGCAAATTTATCTTACACTGCGGGATCATGAACATGCGCACATGTATATATACTTGCAAAATGAAAAGCACAATCCAAATGGAACCAAAAACAATGTTTAATTGCTGAAGCACTAAAGATTTGCCTAATCAGTCAAGTTTGACTCCCTCTTTAATTCATTCTTAAGGGGCTGTGAGAGAAGTTCTTAAGGGGCTGTGAGAGAAGTTCTTTAAGGGGCTGTGAGAGACGTCCTTAAGGTTCTGTGAGAGAAGTTCTTAAGGGTCTGTGAGAGAAGAAAGTTCTTAAGGGTCTGTGAGAGAAGTTCTTAAGGGTCTGTGAGAGAAGTTCTTAAAGGGTCGTCCTGTGAGAGTTCTCTGTGAGAGTCTGTGAGAGAAGTTCTTAGGGTCTGTGAGAGACGTAAGAAACGTTCTTAAGGTGTGAGAAGTTCTTAAGGGTCTGTGAGAGACGTCCTTAAGGTTCTGTGAGAGAAGTTCTTAGGGAGACGTCTGTGAGAGAGAAGTTCTGTGAGAGAAGTCTTTAAAGTGTCTGTGAGAGACAGTTCTTAAGGGTCTGTGAGAGAAGTTCTTAAGGGTCTGTGAGAGAAGTTCTTAAGAGTCTGTGCAAAGGCATCAAATACATGATAAAAATTACGTAGTAACGGTTATTTTTCAACACCTACCTGCCACATAGAATAATGTACCAATGGACAGGAGAGATACCTCTCATAACAACCCAATCCCATAAATGATTTGTTTTCCTGCCCTACGCTGACAATAAAGCAGTCCTCACCCCTACCAGCGTTGTGTTGTGAGAGCCACAACCAGAAACACAGACGTCTGAAGACAACCAGTAAGTGTGATGTGTATTCGTAAAATCTAAATCTATTACATGAACACATATGTAACTGGTCAGCTTCAGGTTAGCGTTCCTGAAGATTTCATGGAAAAGAGGGTGATGTGCGGGGTAATCGGTGAAACTTTTTCTTACAGAAATTCAAGTTAATTTGAAAGTTTTGTTTTTGTGATAGAATTGTGGATTGATTTCAGAATTTTATACTTCACACACGTGAGGAAACAATGTACAGAGTTGTCGATGTAATATCCGCAGGAACAGCGTGGCCGGTTTATATATGCCTCCTATACATGTCGGTGTAATATCCGCAGGAACAGCGTGGCCGGTTTATATATGCCTCCTATACATGTCGGTGTAATATCCGCAGGAACAGCGTGGCCGGTTTATATATGCCTCCTATACATGTCGGTGTAATATCCGCAGGAACAGCGTGGCCGGTTTATATATGCCTCCTATACATGTCGGTGTAATATCCGCAGGAACAGCGTGGCCGGTTTATATTTGCCTCCTATCAGGGATGTTATATAATATAGTCTCCCTGCTCCTATACATGTCGGCGTGGAGGTCTCTACAACCGAGTCTAAGAAGGCAGTGTTTCGTTTGATAAAATCGAGAGCGGAAATCTAGGTTAAAATGTATTTTTTTGTTAGATCTTATCAACGTTTTAATTTCAGAGAGTGTACAGGAGTCTGTAGTTATTAGTTGGAGCATTCCACAAACATGTTGTGTCAGACAAGGAGTTGGCTCAAGCAGCAGTCCTCCATTATACCCTGTACATAAGGACTGTTTCTTAGGTTCTAATTTGTGGCTTTCAGAAACGAATCCTGGAATCAGATCGCAAAGATAATCTGGGGACAGACGATTAAACAGTTTAAAAGAAAAACAGTTAGTTATTGACAATACCTTCTATCTGTTAGTGGCTGGGATTAAGTTCCGGTATAAAGTTTATCATGACTGTATGGCATTTAGTTCTGAAGGTGTCCAAATATACGTCTTCTAGATTATGCGATTGTTCGGAAGTTGTCCCAAATGTGCGAGAAGTAGTCAAAATGGAGCAAGATGAAAGATTTATACATAGTTTCCAGGGTTTTTCAAGACACTTGGTACATAAAACTCCCCAAACAGCTGATAATAGGACGACTAACTTACTGTCACTAATATGATCATTCCAGTCGCTTTGTATAGAGTTATTCAGAAATGTTCATTGTAATGTCTTAAATGAATGCTACATTCATGAGTTGACTTGGTTTCACAGAGGACTTGGTTTTACGTGAAACCTGTAAAGATTTGGTACGATTAGGGGTAAAGGTTACCTGCCATTCATGACTGGTAGATTTTGCTAAGATCATCATGAAGACAGGAAGCAGTTGGATCTGCTGTTGTGACATGCAGTGAAATACCGCCAGCAAAGAAACGAATATCACTGTCAATATCAGATACAATGTCATTGATATAAGAAACAATAGCAACCCGAGGACCGAGCCCTGGAGCACTCCAGCTAATGCAGCCATTTTGCCAGATAAATTCCCGTTGTATTCTTATTTTTAAGTAATTTTCTAACCATTTAACAGGTCACATTGGATACCATAGTTTGTGAATGATACCTTTATGCCAGACCTTATCAAAAGCTCTACTCATATACTATTCACACTTTGCTAAGGATCAAATCATGGATTCAACGGAAAACTATGATGTGGGGTCAAATTTGGTTTAAATATTCTAAGCTTATTGTAAGCATGGATCCTAGGTTTCAGTTTGTCATTTCATCTTGTGGAACCCATACCTGCTATTGACAGGTGTTGTGTACTTGTCAATGACTCGTTCAATGATTTGCAAAATGGTTGATAGGTGCCATTAAAACCATTTTTATGGTTACTCATGTATCAAGTGCATACGGTTAACTTAAAGTGGCAGTTTTCCTAAAGATGTGTTACCATGTCATTATTTATCCAGTTTTAAATGAATACAATTTCAAGTTATAAATCTACTAGGTTTAAGTAAAGTTGCGAATTTTTGTGATCCATAGAAAGTGTGAGTAGTATATAATAAAATACTACTCTGATTACTTTGTCAAGGCTCTAGCTATGATACCATACACATAGGTGAACTGGTTTGTTTGGAAATATCTTGGCATACAACATGAATCCAAGATTGTTAATAAATCATTATCTTTGAGGAAGTTGAATACAAATTTAAATATTTCTTAAACACATGATATGAGTGCACCAGGGCGATAAGTAGAACATTCGTATATTTTGTGTGTTTTATGAAAAACCAGCGCAAGCGTCAGCTCAAAAGTTAAAATCTCAAGGTCATAGTACAGACAAAGCCATTATCACTTCTCCAATGGAGCCTCCAGAAAGTATCCTTACACATAAGACAACACCGCCTGGTCGCTGTTGCTTTCTTCGACAGAGTGCCCAGAAAGTACCCTTACACACAGGTTAACAGTACCTAGACGCTGATTATTGATGTTATTATATCCGATTTTTTCTGTAATGCGTCTGAAAAGTTTTTGAATATGTTCTCCTATTGCAGTCCAGTGCACCGAGCAACTGCCTGATTGATCGTGTCATTTGGATTCTATGTGTTCCCAGTCAACAGAACGATATCAGCCCTGACCACTCTTGATGAATACTGCTTTAAGTTCATGGATACAAATATAAACATTTTTTTAGGAATTGTTTGACTGTAAAACTTCGAAATTGGCATGATTCCGATTCGACACCTCAGGTGATAAAAAGGGAAGAAATAGACGGGGACCAAACGTTTACGTCGGGTAAACCGGAAGTTCGACCCAACGGTTTTGACTGTGCATTCTTTTGCTTCCCTCGTCACGCCGAGGACCCGGTTCGATTCCCCACATGGGTACAATGTGTGAAGCCCATTTCTGTTGTGCCCCGCCGTGATATTGCTGGAATATTGCTAAATGCAGAGTAAAACCATACTCACTCGCTCACTCATTCTTTTGCAACAGAAACCAGATGTCTGTCATTTTCTGTTTGCCTTACAGGTGGTAACTGGCCTGTCATCCCAAGGATGGTTGTTCTAGCTTCTGTCAGCAAAAATATTGTTCAACAAGTGACTTTGCCAGATAATATAACACGAATGGAATTTGCAATGGGCGTTTGACCTGGAACGAACAGGCTGACAAACAGAAGGCCATAGACCCCTGATACAGCCAATGATTGGTTGCTTCAGTTAATCATGTCAGTGAAGTAATCGATCAATATATCGTTCAATGATGAACAAACTATATGGATAACAACTTCTTTTGTTTCGAGAGCGCGACGTTTCGATATAGATTCTTGTACTGTTGTTTGTCCTGCCTGACAACTGAAACGTCGCACTCGCAAAAGTTGTTATCCATAAAGTGCAACTTCTAAAATGCCACTCAGAGAAGTTCTCTTTGCAGTTAGACTTAATATAGACACACGATATATAAAAAGTTTTCTGATGAAACAATTTGGTGTCAAACCTTTGAGACCTAATGACATATGCGAGTTGGGGGTGTCTAGGAGGTCACGGCATATCTTGCCAAAGAATAAGTCTAATTAAAAATCGAAATCGTCCCAGTGTATAAAAACAGCAATGAGCAAAATAATGTTACATGCTCGAGTTACATGCATGCCTTATAATGGTCTACTCGTGTTCAGTTTCCAGACCATTTCTGGTGTCCCCCGCCGTGATGTTGCTGGAATATTGCTAAAAGCGGCGTAAAACCAAACTCAGTCAGTCAGTTTCCAGATCAGTCGTGTATCACGCTCGAAGTCCATCTGACATTAGTTCCTTCCTATCAGCCACCTGTTGTAGAGGCGGTATACTGTCACTGTAACAAGCCAGGGATGGAGGTGAAACATGGGTCAGGCAATACTGTTCGGGTGTATGTTTTAGTGTACGTCTTGATTAACTCGTGGAACAGATCTATAACCATTAACTACTCGAGATCAGCAGCAAGCCCTTCTGTCGTACGGGTCGTCAGATAGCCCTACTGATGTACTACTATTAGAT